AGGCAGAGGTCCTTGCAAGCTGAAGGTCTTGACCTTGGCTGCAAGGAGCCATAGGAAAAGTTTCTCTGACATAAACTGTCTCCTGTTGTGTGCAGCTCCCACAGAGACTGATGGAGAAAGTGCTAAACCCAGGCTGATGTCACAGTCTCCTGATTAAAGGCAGTTCTTCAGGGTGAAGACTTTGTCTTTTGCTCTGCAGATCATCTTCCTAAAGAATGTGATCCTGTCCTTTGGGCCCTTTCTAATGGAGGGGCTCAGCTGTTCTATGGGAGCAATGCCTGGATCAATGTTCTAGCCTGATACAACATGTGGGCACCCCTTGCTATGGGCGGAAGCCTGGCTTGTAAACGTGAGCAGATGCAAAGTGCTCACATCAGCTGAATTTACATGGGCTCAGGAAAGCTTCAAGTCGAATGTAAACTCGTATTGCTTGCCTGAGCATCAAGCATGCAGTTTCTGTTGCATACGTGATGCTGGTGGGTTTGATTGGCCTGTTTCTGCTTAAATTGCTGGGTTTGCTTTGCAGATAATGGGGAGCTAAAAGGAAGTTCACAAATGCAGCAGCAGTTGTGATCGTTCCAGGGTTGTATTTAGTCCCTGCTTGGTGCTTTGCAAGTGCTTTTCAAGTCAATTAGCCCTTACATGTTAGGCAGGAGGTAGGGCAGGTATTCTCCACCTTTGATCAGCCCTTATGGCCTCCCTTTAAACTATATGCTGAGAAGAAAGCTGTTCCCTTTTCTGCTCCAGGCACAGGCCTGTGGGATGCTGGAGGAGAGCAGGGCTGTGCTTGACGTGCAGAGGGGCCCTATGTGCTACGCAGAGGTTCTCCACTCACCTCACATGGAGGCTTTCACCCTTGACAATCCTTGCTCAGGTTGGGAGCAGCACCTCAAACCTGTCACTTCATAGCCAGCCTTCATCTGTGTTCTTCAGAGATAGCACTACCATTAATTCCCATAAAGACCACCCTGAGACTGAGTTGCTTGCATGGTCTTGCTCCTCCAGACAAGCATTAAAGCCCATTCCCACTGAGGCTGTGAGGAATGGGGTGTGTTCAGTGCCACCTCCTCCCCATGGAGTGCCCCATTCAGCACCTTTCACAGGCAGCAGTTAATGGGATGTTTGTTGGTGGTTTCTGTGGCAGCGCTCACATTGGATGCTCATTGCTCTGGGTGGGTGGGAGTGGGAACAGAGCAGCCTTGTTGCCAACGTGGATGTCTCCATTCTTCTCATGCTCAAAAGAGCAAACGCACATGGGGCTTGGACGGGGTGGTACAGGACCTCCTTCAGCTCAAGAAGAGATGAACCTTTGTATTGCTACCACGAGCTGCTGCTTCTGGTGCTCTGCTGCTCCCTCAGGGCTGGAACTGCAGGCCCTGCTGCTTGCTGCCACCAGAGCTGCCATGAAGTCCTCCAGTTAGAGATGCCCCTGTGTTGTGCCTGAGGTCCCAGTTCTTCCCACCATTCCCAGTGCAAGGTTCCTCCTTCTATTCAGGATGGTCCTGGGCTCTCACTGGGCGGTGTAGGAGCTGGTGTGGATTCCAGACCTCTGTCCTTCCCTTTTGGGCAGTGATGAAGTGACCTTGCCTCTCCTAATTGAGGTGTATCTCCACCCCAAGAAGCCAGTTTTGCAGCAGGATCATAGCACACAGGGCCTTAGATCTGTGGGGACAGGTAGAATCTCAGGCACGGAATCCTGCTTCAGTCATTGCTACCATTTCTGGGTACTTCCAGAAGGGTTTCTTTTGGGAATTTCATGGTTTCTACATTAAAACTCCCTCAGAGAGAGTACAATGAGGCTGAAACCAGTAACGTAGAGTGGGGAGTGTCAGCAGCAGCCAAGAGTGACAGAGTGGGGTTTGACTCCGTTTCCTTCTGAAGCTGCTTCCCCTTTGATTATATCCCTCACATTACAACGTGCAGATCTGGAAAGGTAATTGTTTTCTAATGTCTCTCAAAATAAGCAGCATGTCAAGCAAGTATCACCACCACCTTTATAAGTGGTGCCTGTACATTGTGATAAACCACATATAGCACCATCTTTTGACAGCTGAGTGTAATCAGAGCCATTGGACATTGTATCACGAGCTCTGTCCTGATGTGATGGAGCAAAGTCTGAGCAGGAAGATGCTCCTATAGTGAAGAATTAACGTGCCAGTGTGCACAGGGGAGTCAGGATGCTTCCTCTGCATCCCTTGTCCTGGCAGGTACCAGGGTCCTGGTGCCCAGTTTGCTCTCTGCGTGGTTGTGGAGGTTGTTCCCTGTCATTCCCATGACGGCTGAAGCTGCCGTGGTGGCTCTCGCTATTGCGATGGACGCTGTTGGGTGCAGGAAGAAGGCAGCCATGCAGTTTGCAGTTGCTTCAAAGCTGGTGCAGAAGGAAGGGAACATCAACAAGAGCCTTGTACCGAGCACACAGCCTGCGGTTCTTCACATGCCCGCTGTTCAGGGGGTGTTTAAACAACCCAGCAGGGAAGCAGGCTTTGCCTTCCAGTGTCAAACACAGGGGAGGGAAGCTAAGCAACTCCAAGCCGTGCTTTAGTGAGCATGTTCCTCATCCCCAGTGCACTTCATGTATTTAATGGACTTACTTGCTAAAAACATACGAGGCTTCCTCAATTCAAGCAATATTTTTCACTCCAGTTAATCATCCCAGAAACTTGTCCGCCTCTTTGCTCCCTTTGAGCAAATCCAACTTTTCTCCTTGTCTCTCTGCAGATGATGAAAGGCTTCGTGGATTAGATCATGAAATGCAATCGAGCCTGTTGGTGTTGCTCGCAGTGATGGGCTGTGCTCAGGTGGCATTGCCTTTCCTTCTCCTTTGAAACCGTTCTGCCTGCGTTGCTGCGAGCTGGTGTCTCTCCCTGCTAATAGGAATGTGCATAAAGCTCACATAATCGTTAATATTGAAGAATCATTAAGGTTGATAAAAGCAGCTCTGGCCTCGATTATGTTGTTCTTCATGGTCACTGCTTGTGGAAAACATGATATACAAGCATCAGCTCAGTTGCCTTTTAGAACCCACCAGTTGATCTAGTGGCTGTTTGACTCCATCTATTGCACACTCGGAGATAGCTCCAGTTAGATGCTCATTTTACAAGCCTGCAGGAATAAATGGATTTCTAGAGGCTGTCTCTGCTGCCCTCATCCTTTTCCCACAGCCCCTGTTTCTGATGCAGACAGCGTCCGAAAGGCAGCAATCTGTAGCTGAGCACTAAAGTCTAGGTTGGCTTTTTATTAAAGCAATGATGTGCTGACTGGCTGAAAAGTGTCAAAACTGCAGTCTTGTAACATCAACAAAGTAAGGCAGGTTGCCTTCCTCATGGGGAGGAGTGCTGAAAGCAAAACGGAGCCCTGCAGGAAACCAGTGCATCTGAGCACTTCTGCTGTGGGAAAAGCATCCACAGTTGCTTTTTTCCCTTAATAAGGAAAGACCAAAGTCCGAAGGTTCGTGACTTGACTCGCCTTTGCCTTCCTCTCCCCTCTGCAGTAGCTCCTCAACAGTGCATCCGGATGGGTTTTCCCTCTCAAGCAGGACTGGAATTGGAGTAACACGGAAGGTGTTATAGGAGTGAGCATGCAGTAAAAGGCTGGGAAAGCTGGGGGAACTTGGGGTAGTGTTCTAAAGTGAGCAGAGGGAACTGGCCTGCAGCAAATACAGACATGTCCCAGGAAACCCCCTGGGCACGAGCGGTGTGTGTGAGGCTTTGTGCTTACAGAGGGAAGGGAGATGATGGGGACAGAGCCCGTTCAAGAAATGAAACCTGAACCTCATCCAAGTGATTTCCAAGAGACTCAGCTCTGGCTGTCAGGGGGTGGTAGGAACGGGGCTGCAAAGGAGCTGTGTGTGTGTGGGCCCGCACGTGCAGCCTGTCACAGCAACACAGAGGCAGCTTCACGCTGTGGCCCTGGTGCGTTACATGTGCGGAGGGATGACTGATGATGATTCCAAACTGGGATCCTCCACGTGAGCATTAGTGCTTGCAGAGTTACCCAGGAAGACGATGGCCTTTGTAATTAAAGCACAGAGGGGTTTGAGGCACAGTGTGCTTCCCTACCCTTTGCTTTCTTGTGCTAGGAGTAATTCTAGGGAATGCTAACAGAGATAAAACTAGCACTGAGATGTTCCAGACCCAGGGTTGTCAACATGTCTCATTTAACCTCAACTGCTACAAGACTGACTGCCTCCACAGCCAGTGTAGTTTTCTTGGCATGCCATGCCATGCCACGTCATTCAGTCTCACTGGAAGTTCTCCTGCAGCCCGTCTGTGTAAGACAATGCTTGGCATGCAGTTGTTTTGCATCGATGGTCCAAGTCCTTGGTTGGCATTTGCTTCATCTGCATGTGTCCCATTGCCATCTGCTGGAGGCTGGTGAGTGTGCTCCTAGGGACTGTTGTGCCAGGAGCTGCCCCTGAGGCCACCCACTCCCTGCTGAAGATGCAGTGAGGTTAGCTCCTGCTCTGTGCTGCTGGTGAGGCTGTGTTCTGTGATGCGCTGGTAACCCTGGGTCATGGCATGAGCCTCCGATAGCAAACACCACATCAGGACAGAATGACCAAAGTCCTGTCTTGGGTGCTCTTGCACAATAAAAGCACCAGTTCTCTTACCTATGCTCATAACCGGGTTAGAAAGAGGCTGAACTGGGGTTTACAGCTGAACAAAGAGTAGGGGTGGGATTGCTGAACCGCTTTGGTGTAGACAAGACTGGGAAGTGAGGCCAAGGCATGCAGCATGCCCGGTGGCTTCAAGTGTGGACCCCGAGCTCCTCCTCAGGGGTATTCTTTCAGGAGGGCCTTGGAAACTGGGCCTCTCCAAAGCAGCCTGTTTTGGATAGCAGAGCTCACTGGCCCTGGTAGCCACAGCCAGTCTGGACCCCATCCAGACATCCCCACTATTGGGACTGGGAGCTGCTGCCTGTCCCAGCTTCTGCACATTGATGCAGAGCTAAAGAAGACTGCATGGATGGGGCTTCATCACGCTGTTCTGTTTGCAATGCAGGAGGCCTTCGAGGAGCTACAGTGATAGATGCCTTAGATACTCTGTACATCATGGAACTCGAGGAGGAATTCCAAGAAGCAAAGAAGTGGGTGGAGAAGAGCTTTGACTTGAACGTGGTGAGTCAGTTCCTGGGAGTGCCTGTCTGTGTCACCAAGATTCCCTGTATTTGGTCACTTCTGATCACAGCGTTCTCAGAACCATTTGGGGAGGGGAACTGTGGAGTCTGGGGGGGAAGAAACCACTGTCATGATTGTTCTGCCTATACAGGGCTTCCAGCCAGGGGCCATCAGATCAGGCTCCCAGTGTCTACCTGGAAATGAGATTCGCGGTTTAGTGTTTCTTGTGTTTTGGTCTGGGTTACAAAGGCAGCTGTAGTTACTAGGTATGCCAAGAAGTTTATTCATCAAAGAACAAGTTCTGTTTCATCTCCGTTAAATGTCTGCTTGTAGTAAGACAAGTTTTCCTTTTGCATTCTATAGATTAAGATGGAAAACGCTGATCTCATTGACCGGGTGCTTTGTTGGTATGTCAGTGCTGTGTGCACAGCAGTGTATCACAGTATCACAGTATGTTAGAGATTGGAAGGGACCTCAAAAGCTCATCCAGTCCAATCCCCCTGCCGGAGCAGGAACACCTAGATAAGGTTACACAGGAACGTGTCCAGGCGGGTTTGGAATGTCTCCAGAGAAGGAGACTCCACAACCTCCCTGGGCAGCCTGTTCCAGTGTTCTGTCACCCTCACTGAGAAGAAGTTTCTTCTCAAGTTTAAGTGGAACCTCTTGTGTTCCAGTTTGTACCCATTGCCCCTTGTCCTGTCATTGTTTGCCACTGAGAAGAGCCTGGCTCCATCCTCGTGACACTCCCCCTTTATATATTTATATGCACTAATAAGGTCACCCCTCAATCTCCTCTTCTCCAAACTATAGAGACCCAGCTCCCTCAGTCTTTCCTCATAAGGGAGATGCTCCACTCCCTTAATCAGTGTGCAGTGTCTCCACAGGTGTCCACACTCCACAAGTGTCTGCACTTGGAGCACTGTCTGCAGTTCATGTCTTCAGCATAAGACGGACATGGAGCTGTTGGAGCAAGTGCCTGGATTTGGAAGGAAGAAGGCCATCGCTCCCTGGGTCCCTGTCCGAGCCACTTCCCAGAGCTAGTGTTAGAGCTGCTGGGCCTCTGGGTGCAGCACCCTGCTGTCAGATGAAGGATGCTGTCCTTTATCTCCCTTTGTGGATGGGGCCCCTTGCCACAGCTCTGACTGTTGTCTCCAAGCCAGATCTCCTAGTTCTCATGGGAGAGCTGATGGGACCTTGTCAGGGGCATATGGAGAATGTTAAAACCAGAGCACAGTTTAAACTTTGAGGTTTTTAATGCCGGCCCTGTTGTCTGTTGTGCAAAATGGTTCTCCCCATTGAAACAATGCATGCAGCTGCTTCATAGAGAAGCATCATTTGGGAGGGCACGACTGACATTCATGTATTCATAAAAGGAAGACCACATCTGATAAATGTGGTGAATGCTCTCAGTACGTTACTGAATCAATAAACAATGACAAAATCAACCGGGAGATAATTTATCTGGATTTCATAAAAGCTTTTAATCTTGGCCTGCAGAATAGATTGATCTGCAAAGACAAGAGTGAATGCTGGGGATTGATCGGGGGAGTCAGGCAGCACAGCAGAGGGGGAGAGGAGGGAAATTAGTTAAAGGTTGGCTCTGTACAAGGAGCACTGACAGTCCAGAAATGGGGCTCTGGTTGAACCTGGGTGCCGTGATGGCTCGTGTGGTTTTAGTCATCATCTGAAGGAAGCACTTGCACTGCTCTGTAACCTGCAGGGGTTTGGAAGGGGCAGGCTGGTGCAGAGGTGTGGGTGCCTCTTTGTTGCTGTGTTGGTGGAAGATCTCTCTGAGTTTTGGCTCTATACACGTGAGGGTAGGAATCTTTTATCATGCAGATTCAAGAGCCAGGAGCACCTTGTTTTTGACAGTATGTTTTGCATGCAGTCATTTTGACATTGGCTGCTCATCAGCTGAGTAGGTAGAGCAAAACGTGTTCCAGGTGAGCGTGTTGTGGAGTGATGCAGGGAAGCGTGGCCACGTGCATCTGCTGCGTGTGGTGGTGGCACATGGGCACCATGCAGGTTGTCTCTGTCAGCGTGCCTAGCACAGGCTCCCTGCAGGCTGCGGTCCTCTCTCAGCCTGCAGATGGGCGAGTTCTTGAGTGACAGAAAGTACCTGCCAAAAGCAGGCAGTGCATCAGGTCTGTCTGGTGCCGTGCCCTCTTCACAGGGAAATGCAGGAAGTCATTTCCCCTTATGGCTGCACAATTTTCCCTTTATATGAAACATTTCAACAGGCAGATTTTTGCCCTGAACTGACTGACAGCTTTCTGCAAGGCATAGCCCAAGTCAGGGTTGAATGGATGGACAATGCACCTGCTCTGATTGACATACTGTCAGCTGGGGATGAGTAGACAGTTTGGGGGTTTCTCCTCCCTTCAAGCTATTTGTAGAGCAAATAAAGTGCTGTGAGATCTCAGACAAAAAGCTGTGTTTCACTGTCGGTGAGGACTGGGAGACTTCAAGTACCTGCCTGCAGTCTGTTTCCCTTAGCTGCCATTTGTGTGTGCAGACTTTGCAGTCACGTCTATCATTATGTATTTCAGAACGGAGAAGCATCCTTGTTCGAGGTGAACATCCGCTATGTGGGAGGACTGTTGGCCATATACTACTTAACTGGAGAAGAGGTTGGTTTCTGCAGCTCTGCATGTCGCACACAGTCACCAGTAATGAACTGAGAGGGTTCTCCAGCAGCTCTTCTCTGAGCATCAGATGATCCCTCCATGAGAACAGGCCAAACCTGTCGTTTTTCTCAATATCAATATGCCACTAATGTTCTTTTAATTAAGTCTCACATAATTACCTTGCACACACTGTGCATGGCTCATTGGCAAATCTGTTCTCCTGTGGGCAATTCCAGCAAGACCCGTTTTCAGCTGGGTACAGTGTTCCCTGGTGATGAAGTGCCATTTGCAGTCATCATTGTCTTTGTCCTTGTCCCTTTGTATTCTAAACATAGGCAAGATTTCATCAAGCATCATTCCAGATTCTGCCTCAGACTAAGGAGGGCAACTGCTTAGTGGCCACTGCCCCAAACTCCTAAGACAAAGTGCCCTGGGCTGCAGGGAAGCACTAACAGAGTGCTGCAGCAACGCACCATGTTCCCTTGCCCAGCAGCTGTGAGTGTCACAGGCCCATCATAGGGAAGCTGCCCTGCAGCAGATGCTCCCATTCTGGCTAGAGCAGGAGGCTCTCACTTCCATTTCCCTTCTTTCTCTCCAGCCTGCAGAGGCCAGGGCTTAATGCCATAATCTGTTTTATAATGTGCCTGGCCTGCAATTCCACAACTGGCTGTAGGGAGATGAAGAGATTATTCCTTTGCTCTGGAAGTCTTAGGCAAGCAGAAACTCTGATTCAAGGGGGAGTTTTGGGAGTGAAGGAACTGGAAGACTGGCTCTTAAATGAGAGCTTAGCTCCCATGCCAAGCAGTGACCATGGCTGGGTGTTGTCCACCTTAATAGGATGGGATGGCTCATCACTGATCCGTGGAATCACAGGAGCAGCGCAATTACTTTCGTTGCATTTTAAATGAGTTCCAGGAATGACTTCTTTCCATGATATCCCTCTAGGGAAAACTCTCACAGACTCCAGTGCCCCAGCCCAGGCCTTGTCTTGGTCACAACTTCAACAGAGCAAAAAGAAACAGCATTAAAGCACAGAACTCCAGCAGTGACCTCTTGAGATGCAGTCAGCAGTGATGCTCAGCAGCCAGGGCAGTGCCTGGCGTATTCCCACTCAGGGTCACCACACTGAAAGGCAAAACTCGTGTCCCACTCTCTTGCTTTCCCTTCTGACAACCAAACCCCTGTCTCCTTGGGAGCGGATCAGAGGTCTGCAGCCCCACAGGAGAGCTCGGATTTCCTCAGTGCTGTATTTTTAGAGCAATAAATTCCTGCTTTCTGTGCACTCCTGTGGCAGCTCGGGCTGATGGTGGGGGGGGGCTTTATCTCCTGAGTCACTTACAGGCTTCCCTTGATCAGAACTAATCTCTGGAGCAGAGATTGGTGCTTGTGTCAGTTTGTCCCAAAGTAATTGTGTGGTGCCTTTGTGCTGCAAACCGCCATAAGCTAGAACTTGATTTGGAAGCCCAAAACCGAGGCATCACAAATGGAAAAGGAGCAGCTCAGCCACGAAACCATGAATCCTTCCTGGAAAAGAGTTGCAAGCGAAAGATTGTTGGAAACCATGTTTTTTCCAACAGGAGATGACACAAGTGTTGTAAATCTAACAACGCTGCACCCTAGAAAGACATCTTTGGATGCCAATTCAGTCATTTCACCTCCCTGTGTCCTCCTTGGGAAAAGGGTGGAATTTGGCCCCAAAGAGTCCTCTTTGGATGAGTTCAGCTCCCAGAGATCTGCTGCTGGCACTGGGGTGTTCTGAGCTCTGCAGCTCTGACTGCACTCATCCAGGCTGAGGGTTTGGCAGGGGATGGGCCTGCTCTAGGGGAGGTTTTTAGATGACGTTCAGGTAGATACCAGGGTTCAGCAAGAGTTCTGGTTCGGGTCTGGCGTGCAGTGGAGCGAGGGCAGCAGCGTACCTGGAACAGCAGGCGGAGGTTGCTATAATGGTGTATTGGAAGGAAGCCGGTGTGAGTGGTGTTCACAAGCAGCCCATCAGATACCGATCCTCTCTTCTTCTTTTAACAGGTCTTCAAGAGCAAAGCTTTGGAACTGGGAGAGAAACTTCTGCCGGCTTTTAACACCCCCACGGGGATCCCGCGCGGCGTCATCAATTTGGGCAGGCAAGGCTCACGTCCCTCCCAGCGCATCACTGTGGTTGTGGGTGTTTGTAAGAGGCCAGGATTCAGGCAGGAACAGCAGCAGCTCCTGAGGTGCCCCCCTCTAGTGCTTTGCCAACTCAAACCCCAGAGGTGCCTTGGCAGGGATTGCAGGGGACTCAAGTTAAACCCAGCTGTGTTTCAGTAACCTGGGGCTCTCTGCAGTTCCCTCCTCTACCTCTTGGCAGGGCTCCCTGCTGCAATAGCAGTTTCCTCACCCTCACCTGCTTCGGAAGGTGATGTGTAGCCTGCACCTAGCATGCACATAGCTCAGTATCTTTGCAGAGCGCCCAACAAGATGAGTGTGAATTTGTCCGTGTTTGGAAACCTTGGGAAAGGAACTGGCTGGGCCTGGCTGACAGGTTTGGTGCTAGAAAGGGGGGCACTGTACACATCCTCCAGTTGCTGCCAGCACTCAGCCGTTCTCCTTCACTTGGAGCCAGCACGTTTCATGTCAGGTAGGTGGTGTCGTGCTGGAGGGCAGCTTTGGATCAGATCCCTTGCTGAAGGTCTCTGAGCAGAGGCACATGAGGCAGCCGGAGCGCCAGCCTCTCCTTTGTGCCAGCAGACAGTGTTCCCTGCCAGTGAGGGCTCATGGGCTCCTTTTGATGCCTCCACACAAATCCCCCTGGGCAAAAGCTGCAGCTGAAACAGAGGCAGTTGGAAACGGGGGTTAACAGAAGCCTTTCATCCTCACCTCTTGCAAAACCCCAAGCAGGAGCCGTGAGAATCATTCCTCATCTCTTAGCCCAGCTCTCCTGTTCCATTCATGTCTCTGTGCAGTGCAAGACTTTCAGGTGTGTGGCTCAAGCTGCTCCATTGCTCAGGTACCACTGACACCCTTCAGTTGTCTCATCTGCACGTGAGCCTGGTGAAAAACAGAGCCACCATGACCACTTCAATTGTGGCTTTTACAGAAGAGACTTTCTGCTTCCCCTGTGGCTGATGAGGGCTCTGTGGCACAGAGAAACCTTTCACAGAAATGCCAAACCTCCCCTGCCCTTCCTGGAGACAATTGGAACAGGCTCTGCCTGCCTGGGCATTCCCAGCATGTTTTGCTGATGACCTTGACTAAGAGCAAAGCAAAGCAGTGCTGAGCCCGCAGTCAGAACCCATGTTTCAGGGCCATGAAAGTGCTCTGAAGGCTCAGAGGATCAATTGCTCGGGAGCAAGGATGAAGTAGCCTGACTATTTCTACTGACTGCTACTACTAAATCTGTAGTCTGAGTGCTGCAGGTACATGATGAACAGCCAGAGGCTGTGTACCCAAAGGGGCAGGGGGTTCCTCAGTGTGAGAGTGCCTGTGGAGGTGGGAGCAGAGGAGGTGGTGCTGTGCACACACACTGACCCCAATGTCAGGGCGAAACCAAAGCCCAGAAGGAATTTTCTCCCTCCAGTTCTGTTTTCACAAGGATGTGCTAATTCCAGAGAGACCTCATAGAATCATAGAATAGTTAGGGTTGGAAAGGACCTTAAGATCATCGAGTTCCAACCCCCTGCCATGGGCAGGGACACCTTGCTCTAAACCATATCTCCCAAGGCTTCATCCAACCTGGCCTTGAACACTGCCAGGGATGGAGCATTCACAGCCTCCCTGGGCAACCCATTCCAGTGCCTCAGCACCCTCACAGGAAAGAATTTCCTCCTTATATCCAATCTAAACTTCCCCTGTTTCAGTTTTAACCCATTACCCCTTGTCCTACCACTACAGTCCCTAATGAAGAGTCCCTCCCCAGCATCCCTATATGCCCCCTTCAGATACTGGAAGCTGCTCTGAGGTCTCCACGCAGCTTCTCTTCTCCAGGCTGAACAGCCCCAACTTTCTCAGCCTGGCTCCATACAGGAGCTGCTCCAGCCCCTGAGCATCCTCACGGCCTCCTCTGGACTTGTTCCAACAGCTCCATGTCCTTTTTATGTTGAGGACACCAGAACTGCACACAATGCTCCAGGTGAGCTGTTGTCTTACATTAGCCCATCCTTGGTTAAGTGATCATGGAGGCAGAATGTAACTGCTTACAAATACCCAAAGGGTAGGGGATAGAGGTTGGAGAGAAATTATTTATGGTGGGTATGATTAAAAGCAATGCGAAGTGACTGGGAGGAACTGGGAATGAGTAAGTGGGACAAATCTCCCTGCCAAAGACCGTGAGACCTTAATGTACTTCCAGTGAAGAAGAGCAGGATAACTAACCCAAGTGAGACAACTTCATGGGAGCTTATAGAGTAGGTACCTGAACTGTAATAGGGAATTGTCCAATGCATGGGATTTTTCTAATGCAATTAGGCCCCCTGGAAATGGAGAATGATCTACAAGAAGCGCTATTATGATACATGCAGATCTCTCGTACAGAGAGAGAGGATACTCTGAGGGGGGAAGCCTTGCAGCATGTGTAGGTTTTGGTGGTGTCGGCCTGGGGGGGGTGTTAAGAATGACATCCAGAGATTTGAAACAAACAGAAGCTGGCATTATGTCAATTCCTACACGGGTTTTGAGGCCCCAAGTACCCCAACCCCCCAGCTCTTCCCAGAGCTAACTGCCTTTATCTCTTCCTATCACATCACACCACCTTTTCCTCTTGTGTCGCCTTTCCGCTGATGCGCTTCCCTGTGGCCTCCTGTTTTCGCACAGGCTCTGTATCATCTCACACAGGCTTGTTTTCCATCCTGCTGCTCCAACTGCCACGCTCTCTGCCAGGTCCTGGAGTACAGGGTTTCCCCAAGCTGCTGCTCCGTGCTCCCTTCCTATGTGTTGCTGCACTGTGATTGCTCTCCCGATGCCTCCCGTTCTGGGTCCGTGATCCCTGCTTTCCTTCCCTTAAACCCTTTACACCTCCAGATTTTAGTTCATCATCCTCTCCTGGTCTCTCTCTTGATTTGGCTTTGGGTCTCTGTGAAGGAAGGAGAGGATACAACCGCGTTCAGCAGCTTCCAGGTCCTGCCTGTCTGACCCGGCTCAGAAGACAGCTTCTGTTTGTTAGATGGTGTTTGTTAGATTGTCCCTTCAGGGCAGTAAATAAAGGAAAAGTAATTGACTCCTTTAGATAGAACATGGTGGAATGGTTTCACACCCCCAGCGGCTGCCAGGTTGTGGCCAATGTGATATTAAAGCCAGCATCAGGCTGGGCAGGCTGAAGGCTGCACGGGGAGGTTTGTGCCATAGGCGCTCTGTGTTCTGGGTTTCAGCTGCACACTGTGTTTTCAAATGAAAAGCTGGTGCTGCAGCCTCCTGACATTTCCCAGGAAGGCTGATGCTTGGCAGTGAGTGAGCAATTGGAAACAGTGTGAACATATTGCTGATCTAATGGCTTTTTTTGTCTGGAGGCGAAATAAACAGCTCTGGACCTGAAATGGTTTTCCATAGATCACATGAAGGGGAAGTTTTTCCCCCCCCCTCAGAAAGACCATTAGTTTTGGCCTCCTGTAAGCAGCAGAAACCCTTTTCCTTCACCCAGACACTTTTCAGGCGCCATCTAGTGCTACCCTCCCCATCACTGGAAACCTGTTCCCTCATCAGTGTCAGCTGCAAACAGAGATGTGAAAATCAAACCCCTTCACTTCCCAGTCCTAAAACTGTGTGTCTGTCCTTCCCATGGCCCCTGTTGGGACGTGGTGCACGCTGCAGGCACATAGCAAAGGCAGGGTCTGTGCTGGGGGGACCTCAGGCTGGTTGTCTTGGCAGTGAAGGTTCTGTTTCCTCTCCCTGCAGCGGCATGAGTTGGAGCTGGGGCTGGGCATCTGCTGGAAGCAGCATCTTGGCAGAGTTTGGTACCTTGCACTTGGAATTCCTGCACCTCTCGGAGCTCTCTGGCAACCCCGTGTTTGCAGAAAAGGCAAGTACTTCCCAACTTGGGCTTTAGTGAATTGGTCTCTTTATAGTGCTGTGTCTGTGCTGGAGCAGAGCAGCACTGTGGTCTGCCTGCAGCAGGTGACATGGCAGCAATGTGTTCCTTTTCCCCAGTACCAGTAGAGCTCACCAGAGGAGAAAGCTTCCAGAGTGGGACATTCATTCAGAAACCTGTCTCCAGGCCTCAGAGCATCTCTGAGAAGGAGGCAGTGGGCTCCTGTTGGAGATCCTGGCACACCAAGAGGCCTTGGAAGGCAGCTGCCCCAGTGCCTCCTTTGGCTGTTTCCATTTGCCGCATCCCCTTTGCCTGCCTCTCCATCACTCGCAGCCCCTGAGGAGACAGAGATGTCTTTTTCAGTGTCTGTTGTGTGAAGTTGTAGCAAAAACTCCCTCAGACAAGGACACAGCCCAAATGAAACCATCTGTTGGATGAACAGATGAGAGAGGCTGTGAGGATAATTGTTAATTCTGATATCCTAATAGTAGTGCCTTGTACTTGCAGACCTCTTCACTCTAACTAGGCATTAAATGTACGCTCCAGCCAGCAAGAGTTCTGCTGAGGTTTCTTGTGTAGGCAAGGCCTGACAGTTGACATATTGGATTCCTTTTGTGGAACTTGTAACTGAAAATCTATTAATATTATACATTACCTTGAGCTTTTTTTTCCACAAGTGATCTTGTAGTGCATGTGAGAGCGACTTAATAAATATGCTGCTGGATACCAGCAAGCCATTGACTTGTGCTGCACGTCCCTGAGGAGCCAGCTTCGAGGGAGACAAACTGTTCCAGTTAGAATCCAAATGCCCCCATGAGCCCAAAGGAAAGGGGGCCTGTCCAGAGTGGGGTGAAAACAGGCAGTGGTTCTAGGAATGCCAATAAAAAGCTCAAAATGTGACTTGTGTAGGAAATGGCCAGTGCAGATCTGTCAGTTGTGAAACAAGAAGGGAATGTGAAGAAGAGACAGGAAGAAAGAGAAGTGTATGGAAAGCAGTAAGGGTGAGGTAAGCAAGAGGAATGTCACAGAGGGGTGAGCAGGAGAGGAAAGCAGAGGGTGAGGGAAAGCTGGAGCAAGAGGGAACTCTGTAGGGGAAATAAAAAAGGACTGGTGGTTTGAAATACAGGAGACAGGCTGAAGATCCCTGAGGACAGTGATAATGACAGACTGCTCAGAGGAAGGGGGGAGCTGAGGAAAGACCAGTAAAGGAAACAGTGATATGGAAAGAAAACGTGTGCGAATGTAAGGAAGGGTCGGTGAAGAAGATGAGCACTGGAATCACAAGGGTGAGAAGATGCTCTGTTAAAAACTAGACCTGGATCCATGTTCTAGAGCCAAACTGTGGCATTTTGAGCCAGGGTCAAGCCTTTGTCCCCAGGCTCATAAGCCCAGGGATGGGTAAGGGCAGAACCTTTCCACTGGAGCCTGCTGAGCAGAGTGTGCCTGGTGTGTGCTGCAGGCTGTGTCCTCACCTTCCTGCTGCCAGCCTCTGAGCGAACACAGAGGATGGTGTGGGCTCCATCAGCCCATCCCCTGGGAAGCTGCTTGAGAGGAGCAGATTAACTCATTAACTTGCAGCTTGGGACTGGTGTGAGTTTAGCAGGAGTAAAGTCCATCTGTGTCTTCTATTCAAACATGTCATTACTGTGCCACGCTGCTGAACTCCAGTGAATGCTCTGCAGCACGAGGACTTACTTGGAAGCACCAGCTTAAGTCTGCAGCCAGCTTTTAGTGTACACATTCTCTAATTTGATAAAAGGTTTAGAGTGTATTAGCTGCTCTATAGATTATAATAGAATATTTATGCTGCATACCATTTAACTTTGTCCCTTATGGGCAAGGCCTATTGGAGTTAATGGGGGTGAAGCCAAGGGAGGTTTTACAGCTGTTCTGTTGTATTAAAGAACCTGTCTGTTGTTGAAATTAAAAGCCCAAATTTATCATGTTAAGCGACCACATGGTGAATTCAAGTACTATGTGAGTCACTCATCCCTGCCACTGCTTTCCTTTGGATCAAAGGAAAAAATCATATACCTTTCCACCCAGATCCCAAATCCTCAGGACTGCTTCTGCAGCATGGTTAGCGAGCTGTTCCCACTGCTTGCTGAACTGAACTGGGCCTTGCAGGGTTTGTAGGATCATCTCTAAAACCCCACAGAGCTGGACAAAGCTTGTGCTGAGGAGCCAAAGCTGCTTCTCCATTGCAGAGCCTTGTCACAGGGCTCTGCCTGTGTGAGGACTCGCAGGCTGCTGTGTGTGCTCAGCAGGGCCCAGCACTGTGGAGCTGCAGAGCTCTCAGTGACACTGCAGGACCATTGGCTTCGTCAGCAGAGAAGTAACAGAGCTCTTGTCTCTCATCTCTCCTAGGTGATGAACATCCGCAAGGTCCTGAACAGAGTTGAGAAGCCACAGGGTCTTTATCCCAACTTCCTCAGCCCGGTGACAGGGAACTGGGTGCAGCGTAGGTATCACTGCGTTCAGAGTCATGCCGGGAGCATTTCAGTCTTTGCATTGCTCTTTAGGAAGCAATAGTAACTGTCAGAGCAGCACGCCAAGAAAATGTCTTGTCAGGCAGCCTGTTATACATGTGATTAGATAACACAGCCCCATTTGTAAGATGCAATATAGTAATTGTACACTTACTCCATCAGGCTTGTTTCTGCCTGAGTGTCTCACCTCCAGAAAGAATTAGGGCCTTTCTTGCATGGGGGAGGATAATGGTACATGGTTCATCACACAGATGTTAGAAAGCAGCACATCTCTTTAAGAGCTCATCCTGCAGGCATCACATAGGCCTGCCTGGGAGTTGCATGTGTGGCTGTGAGCAGAAGCACAGTAAGATTTCCTTCCTGAGTGTGCTGCAGCAAGTAAGGAATCACCAGGACAGGCAGAGGGCTTATGGAGCCACATCTCCCGAGGATCTAGGGATGCATCCTCCTGTATGCATCTGTGTACCTCTTACCATGGTACCTCTGCGTGGTGCAGTTTGGTACAAGGGTACAAGGATGCATTCTCTCTCGTTGGGAACTCAGCAGTGGCCAGCAGTGAAGACATAGGCATTGAATAGCTGCTGCTCTGATATGAAAGAGGAGTGATAACTAGGAAGGGACTTGAAAAGAGCAAGGAAATGATAGAAGCAGTGTAACCAGGGGAAGGTTATTTACTTCCCTGCTCTACCCACACAGCCCCTTCCTTACCCAGAAAAGAGACTGTACCTCTCTTTTTGTGCCACCGAAGGGCAGAAGCTTGCCTTCTGGTAGGCACATGAAAGGCTACTTCTGCTGCTGTGCCCCACATCTCTGACCTCTCTGTTGGGGTTGGTTGGTTGGTTTGTTTGCTGGCTTTCCTGTTGCTCTGTCAAAGGAAGGAAAAGTGTTGGGTTTTTTTTGCAGAAGCTCTTTTTAACCTGTCCCTGGGTTATGTTTATCTTGTTGAAGCAGTTTTCTTCGAGTTATTGCATTACCTGGGGTTCCCCTGTCTCTTGCACTGTTTGCTCTCCTCCAGCCCTTCCTAACTACTGTGCTAATGGTTCTGATTGTAGCTGACAGGCAGTTGCATGAGACAGAGTGGGAGCTCTAACCCTGGCCTTTCACTGTCACAGCAGCACCTCTAATGGTAATTGACAGGGCTTGGCTTGAAAGGTGTCCCAACAAAGCATCTGAATGGCTCCAGTTGTCCCATTAAACCAGAGCTGTCCTTTGGTGCCATGAGGGAAGAAAATAGGCTTCTGTGTTTGTCCCATTCATTGATGTTCAAAGTTATCCAGTCCCTTTGTAAGCAGTTCAGCTGCTCCTCCGCACTGGTCTCTGCAGAGTTGCTGCAGTATGTTCCGCTTGGAAAGCAAATCTCCCGCACCCTGAGGTACCATTTTCCATGGGTTATTCCCAGCTGGCAGCCACACTGCACATTCTACCAGACACAGCATTAGTTCTGCCTATTCGTGGGTGCTGAGAGCTCTCCTAGAGCCCCACGTCATGAGGGCAGCTCATGGGGCAGGCTGTTGCAGCAGTGGTTCATAATAGAGCCTTGTGGTCTGAATCAGCCTCTTCTGCATGTCCAGTGGTGAGAAAGAGATTAGGACCGAAGCAGGGAGGCAGCTGCAGCCTGTCACAGAGATGTCCCCTGTAGGTGCCAGGCTCTCATTTTCTCTCTTGTCATTAAAGCTCTTTGCAGGAAGGCGTTTTTTCTTGGAATTGCTGTGATTTTCTTAAAAGGTGTATCTTTGACCTGCCTGAATGAGCACATCTTGCAATGAAGAGGCAGTGCTGCGCCTCTCCCGAATGCAGCCCTTACCTGGAGAGAACTAAAGCACAGTCCCCTGATGAAATCAAGAACTTGATTATGCAGTGCCTTGGAGGCAAATGCTGGCAAAGCTGGTGCCATATGGAAAACAATTATGTCCCAGAGCTCCTGCTTTGGTGCTTTTATGAATGACACGCTCAGGATCACAGAGCTGCTCTGTAAAGACAGGCTGTGCAGCCTGTGTTTGCAAATAGTCTGTCCTCTGTTTTGTTGAAGTCATGCATCTAATCTCGTTGTTTTGCTTTGGATTATTCCTGGATCGTTGGGCACACTGTATCAGCAATATTTGCTCTTCAGGTCAGGATGTCATGGCTGTTGAGCTCTTCTTTTGGTAGGATTTAGCATTTAGAATAAGTCTCAGGATGTTATAAATGTACAGAGATAGGGAAAATACAAATCTGACCAGCTAACTCCAAACCCTCCTGCATATGCTTCATTGGCAATGAGGATGCACACCAAGAGGTGGACGCTGTTCCTTTAGCAGGGATGGTTCAGTCCAGGGTCTTGCTCTTCTAAAAAGGGGCGAACTTGGCTGTTTGGAAGAATGGATGCTGCCTTTCCCCCTGTGGTACAGTTTACAGATACACAGCAGCCAGCCTTTCACCCAGGCAGGATCCTGCTGCTGCCATCCCCATTTCACAGTGCAATTCTTCAGCATCCTCCTGTAAGGTCACAGCTCTGTGTGCTCGGAGCCGATTGCCTTGAAAATCTCTGCAGAAGGAAATATTCAGTGCACATCCTTGGACCTGACTTTATCATTTTAATACGCCAACAGCCCCAGCCTTCCCCAGGGCACTGAGTCCCACCATGAGCCAGGAATACAAATGGCATGATGGAGAGGTCCCTACAGCAGCCCCTTGCTGGCAGCTCTGTGTGATCCAGCATGCTTTTTCGCTTTCCTGAGGCAGGGAGGCAGCACCCAGTGGCTTCATATAAGAGATCTATCAATACCTGCCATTGCTTTTGATTTATGAGGCTGGGATTTATGATGATTGCTTCATAAATAGGAAGCATCTTCAAGTTGCAGTATAAATAAGTTGCAAAGCAAGACCTCTGCATAGTTTTGGTAAGGGATACTGATGCGTTGTAAAATGACAGAACATTTTTCTTCTGATTGCACTTTCCACCTTTCTTGCTTTTTGAAAAAGAAATGCAAGCTCTCCCCAGGAAACTGGAAAGAAGACAGAGAGAACAAGGGCATTAAACAAGACATGGTTGTTTGTTCTTTGTAAAGCAACTGCTCATTGTATATTGTGAAGCTGAAGTTCTCTTCTGGCTTTCCCACTACAGACCACGTCTCCATTGGGGGGCTTGGGGACAGCTTTTATGAATATCTCATCAAATCTTGGCTGATGTCGGACAAGAAAGACTCTGAAGCTAAAAAGATGTATGATGATGCACTAGAGGTAAGGAGCAAATTGCTGCTCTGTATTTTGGGGGAGGAGGACATTGGTCGTCAGAACGTTTCAGCAAAAAATATCCCAGATCTTTGTGTTTCTATGGTATTTACTCCACTTCTTTCCACTAAGTAAATACTTAGTAAGTGACTTACTGCCCACAATGTATCTTAACATCCTGATTTTCATCCCTTCAGGCAATAGAAAAGCATTTGGTCAAAAAGTCAGCTGGAGGATTGACCTACATCGCTGAGTGGAGGGGTGGTGTCTTGGATCACAAAATGGGCCACCTGGCTTGTTTCTCTGGGGGCATGATAGCCCTTGGAGCTGAGCACGCTGGAGAAGAGAGGAAGCAACATTACATGGATCTCGCTGCAGAGATAACAAGCACATGTCATGAGTCTTATGCACGCTCAGGTAAATCTGTGGACTGCCTGGAAAGTATTAGTGAGGGGTCACCTACAGCCTTAGGAAGCTGAGCTTTGGTGTGGCAGAGGTTTGCATCCCTGTGTGTGATTTTCACTTGTCTTTTCTGGGCTATCTAGAAGAGAAAGCAATCTGGTTTACAGCTGGAGCAGAGGGACAGGCAGATGGGAGCTCCTGTGGCAGAGCTGGGAAAATAACCCATAGCTTAGTCCCACCTCCGAGTCACAGAACTGGCTTTCTCCCAGCTAGACTATAGTTTGAGTCTTATCTTTTCACATCCCTTCGCAGACAAAAATGGGAGCTTAACAGATTAATTGCAAAGCATCCCACTCGATGGAGCAGAGCAGCTGAGAAGCCCAGCAGCAGAGTGTGGGAGACCTGCAGCTGCGGGTAGGAACACAACAAATGAAGTCTCTCCTGCTGTTGAAGAGAGCCTGGCTAAATCTTGATGTTTCCCAAGGCCTAGAAAATGAGTTTCACCACTCAGTGTGCTTATCAGGGAGGGCTTTGGGTGAGCAGTGACGTGATGAATGAGAGTCTGGGTTATTCTGTGCCTGCAGGGCTTTCAGCAAGAGGGGCTTGCATTGGACATCACTCCTTCCTTTGTAGGCATCTCTGTAGCTCTTCTGAGACTGCAGGCAGCGAAGCAGCACTCTGCTTTCTGGGACCTTGTCAAGCACAGGTCTGTCTACTCAAACTGTTCCCAAAGGTTGTTTCACACCTTCACCACATCAGCAAGCCCATACTGGGAGCCAGTGTCCAGCACGTTTGCCCAATAAACTTAAAGCTAACCTGAAATGTTCACAAATAACTCTCTTTTTCCCCCCAGTGCTTCCAGAACTAAACCAAGTCACCCAAACTAATAACCCTCTGGTTGTGAGTGCCTGGAGCCAGTTTTCACCTTCAGCAATACCCATCAGCATAGAAAGGATGGTAGCAACCTGCCCGCACTGGTGACAGTGCTGTCACTTCAGCAAGCTCATTGATTTACAGAGAATGCCTGTGCATGTCACCCTGGCTCTCAGCAGATGGCCCAGCACTGTTAGATCCCCATGCCCCAGGGAAGGAGTGCAACACAGCTGGAGAAAGAAAATGACTCCCTGAAACACAGCCACACATGGGAACAGCAAGAGAAACCTTGTGGCATGATCACAGTCATAGAGTCACAGATTGGTTTGGATTAGAAAGGATCTTAAGATCATCAAGTTCCAGCTCCCAGCTTTGGGAAGGGATGCATCACAGCAGACCATGTCGCCCAAGGCTCCGACCAGCCTGTCCCTGAACACTGCCAGGGATGGAGCATTTACTGCTTCTTAGGGCAGCCTGTGCCAGGGTCTCACCACCCTCACAATCAACCTCTGTGCTCAGTTTGCCTGGTTTTTGAAAGGGAGAGCATTCATTTTGGAAGTAGGGATCAGAGTGCTAGCCAGTGCTTGCAAGAGATTGAGATTCTCATGTAAGGGAAACTCCAAAAGACCCAGGTACTCTGAATGTGTTACTTATAAAGCCCCAGGGAAATCGATGAAGCCTTCCCCATCATCCTGATGTCTTCCTTCTCAAAGAGGCTGCTTGTGGACCAGAGGAAAGGCAGAAGAAGTGATTGCAGGTCCCAGGTACCACTTCTTACATCCTCCTTGCTGCAGTGCAGGTGGAACAGCTCAGTCTGGTGGACAGATAATTGTGAGGCAATTCATAGGAGCAAATACCAGCCCAGCAAAAGTGCCAGGCCATGGGGCAGATTTGTGCCTGCCCTCTGCATGCTCAAATCTGCTCCAAGTTTGTGGGTTTTTCCACCCTCAGAAACACTTCATCCTCACCTGGATATTACCCACATACCCCAGCATGAGCAACGCCTGGAGCAGCAGTGGGCACAGCTTGTGCACTCTGTGGAGCTGCCCCTGTTTTGACATCAGTATGAGGTTGATCTGATAGACAAGCACGACTGCTCTGCTCTCGCAAGCCTTAAGGACACGTTGGCAGCCTGAGCAATATAAAAGCACGTGGAGAGTGTGTTTCCTTCTGCTCAGAATGATTATTGCATGTGTGTGATTGTTGTCTAGATACCAAACTGGGCCCTGAAGCCTTTCGCTTTGATGCTGGAACTGAAGCCATGGCAACCAGACTCAGCGAGCGCTACTACATCCTGCGGCCGGAGGTGGTGGAAAGCTACATGTACATGTGGCGGCTGACACACGATCCCAAGTACAGGCAGTGGGGCTGGGAGGTTGTGAAGGTACGGTTGGAATACCGCTTCCAGGCTGCTGGATTCTTACACAGCTCTTTCCTTTGGAGAGACAAGAGCAGACTCTCAGTCGTGTTGGGCACTAAGACACATCAGCCGTGGGGCAGGAATGCACAAAACAGCTCGATGTAGTGTGGTGTCTGTTGATCATTGTGAGTGTTTGCCTTTTGGGCTACACTAAAAACAGTCAGAACAGTGGAGGTTTATGGAGAGGAGTGTTGCAGACAGCAAAACCTGCTATTAATGAAACAGCCCTCTGCACAAAGGAGTCAATGTTCCATCTGCAGTGTCTAGGCTGCTCAGAACCATGGGTTTGTAATAGGCCAGGGAAAAGCAGGAAACCTGCCTTTGCCCTGGGTCTTGTCTTCTACCCACAAAGATGTCCCAGCCAGAAAGCCCCTCACCTCTTTCTAGCTCATGCAATAGCCTGTTAGCCCCTGCCCACATCCTGGCAGGAGCTGCATTTCAGTGGCACAACTGTCATTTGTCTTCTTGCTGGGAAAGAGCCTCCACAAGCAGCGAGTTACCACTTGAGATCTGGTTGTGCTATTTCTGTAACATCAAGGTCAATGAATCAACTAACTTAGGTGGTTGATGTTTCTCTTGCTATTTCATTAGAACCAGCTTTATTTCCAGAGCCTGGAGTAATCACCACACTCTTAGTGAGAGACAGAGCCTACTGTAATCCTGGAATTTGATTTGTAAAGCTGACTTGTAACAGACCTGATGATGATTAATGAGTTACTGCCCCATGCTGTTGTGTGTTACTGAGATTTCTTTTCCTTTCGCAGGCCCTGGAAAAGCATTGTAGAGTAGAAGCTGGTTTCTCTGGCATCCGAGATGTTTATACCACAACCCCGACCCATGACAACATGCAACAGAGTTTTTTCCTTGCAGAGACTCTGAAGTAAGTCCAGTGTCACAGAGGCCTTTCAGAGTAGCATAATTCCTGCAGCAGCAACACTCTTGTCTGCTTTATTAGGCTCTAATAATAAGGGGGAAGTCTTATTCTCTGTGGGGAAAACTGGGCAAGGCTGTGGGTGCTGCAAAGCTTTGGTAGTTTCCTCCTGTAGAACTATTGCTGTCATTGGCACTCTCAAGGTTTTTGCTGATGGGGGGGATTTAAAGGACTCTTCCTGTGATTTTAAGCTGCTCTAAGTGGGAGGCTCTGACTGCTGAGCTCCCTTGCATTTAGCTAAGAGACAGCCTGTCTCCTCTGCCAGGTTGATGCCCTGTATACAGAGGAGACGTGACTGTGGCCTGAATTTGCTGCCCCTTGGTGCAGAGCTGCCTTTCACAGGTAGCATGAGCTAATGTTGTTGCTGATCACAGATGCCCTTCCCGTTGTGCCACAGTTGTACCAGGGCTGGGAGTTTCAAGCAGGAGAGTGAGGCAGGGAGTGGGGGAATGCATCACCATAAACCATGGCCAGCCCTATCACAGTCCTGCTGCCAGTGCTTGTGTGTGCCTGGAGTCCCATTTGGGTTTCCTTCCATCTCCCTCCCGGCTCCAGGTACCTCTATCTTCTGTTCTGTGAAGATGACGTGCTGTCTCTGGACGACTGGGTGTTCAACACAGAGGCTCACCCCCTGCCAGTCAACCACACGAACTTTAAAGCCAGCGTGCAGCAGTGAGGCCACTGCCCAGGCCCTGCTGCTGCAGCCTCCTTGTGTTTCGGCTTTTCCTTTCCATTAAAGGAATTTGCATTGTTCCTGAAATGGTATTTTGGGGAATAGTCCAATTCCGGACAGTATTGTATGGGGAAGATGAAACCATGATGTAAGCACCTTCTTTTCCTCTGTGAGGAGCTCTATTAGCCTGATACTGAGATGTTTATTCTGGGCCATATTGTACACAGTTCATAGACATTCCTTTATACAGAGAATTTATATGAAATCCACTGACTTTGCTTTATAGTGGCCAAAGGACTGGAAGTTTGCCATAAAATAGACTTCACACACACACACATCCTCCTTTCATTTCTCAGTTTCATTTTTGCCTTTTATATACTCATGGATTGATCACCTTTCTAATGAACAGTTGCCAATATATGGTGCTTCCTAGGCACTTAGGAATGGCAGGACAGGAGCATGAGGAAGGGGAGATGCCCTTTATGTGAGAGAGCAGGTGGAGTGCATGGAGCTCTGCCCAGGGATAGATGAGCTAACTGTGAGCTTATGGGTTAGGATTAAAGAGAAGACATACAACTGACATTATAATGGGTGTCTGCTGTAGGCCACCTGACCAGAAAGAGCTCACTGATCAGTAAGACAAGGAACCTGATTACACAGGACATGGAAACAGTTGAAATACCAAATGTCACCTCTGTCTCAGTCTTTACTAGCAAGACTTGTCTTCAGGAATCACAGGTTCCATAGACCACGGGGAAAGGCTGCAGCAAAGATGTACCTTTGGTGGAAGAGGATCAGATCATGGAATCCTTAAGCCAACTGTACATAGATAAGTCCATGGGCCTTGGGAATGCACCCACAAGTGCTGAGAGAGCTGGCAGATGTCACTGTCTCAATAATCTTTGATTGACCGTGGCAACTGGGAGAAGTGCCCAAAGACTGAAGTAAAGCAAATGTTCCTCCTGTCAACAGGAAGGGCAAAGAGGGGGACCCAGAGAGCCATGAGCTCACGAGGCTCACCTCAGTCCCTGGGAAGGCAACGTTATCCTGGAAACCATTTCCAGGCACAGGAACAACCAACAGTTCCTCAGGAGTAGCCAGCAGAGCTTCACCAAGGGGAGTCAGGTTTAGCCAACTTGCTACACTTCTATGCTGAAATGACTGGCCTGGTAGATAAGGGCAGAGCAGCAGATAGAGTCTTCCTGGACACTGTCAAAGGAGATCATCATAGACAAGCTGTTGATCTATAGGCTGAGCAGCCAGAGAGGTGGGTTGAAAACTGGCTGATGGTTGGGCATTGGTGATCAGTGGCACAAAGTCTATTAGAGGCCAGTAGCTAGCAGAGTATCACAGGGATTGATACTGGTCCAGTCCTGGTTAACATATTCATTAATGATCTGAATAATGAGGCAGAGTGTACCCTCAGCATGTTTGATGATGACAAAACTAGGAGGGGTGGCTGATAGACCAGAGGGTCGTGCTGCCATCCAGAGGGACCTCAACAGGCTGGAGAAATGGGCTGGTAAGAACCTCATGAAGTGCAGCAAGCAGAAGGGCAAAGTCCTGTACCTGGGAAGGAACAAGCCCATGCTCCAGCATGTGCTAGAAAGCATCTTGGCAGAAAAGGACCTGGGAGTCTTGTGGACACCAGGTTGACCATGAGCCAGCAATGGGCTCTTACTGCAAAGAAGGCCAGTGGTATCCTGGGCTGCATTAGCCCCAAAGCATTGCCAGCAGGGCAAGGGAAGTGGTCCTTCTCTGCTCAGCACTTGGTGAGCCCACAGCTGGAGTGCTGTGTCCAGGTCTGGGCTCCTCAGTACAAGACAGACATGGACATAGTGCAGTGAGTGCAACAAAGGACCACAACAATCATTAAGGGACTGGAACATCTCTCCTATGAGGAGAAGCTGAGAGCTGGGACAGTTTACCCTGCAGAAGGCTCAGGGGGAATCTTTTATATATACATACATTAGGAGGGAGGGTGCAAAGAGGATGGAGCCAGGCTCTTCCCAGTGGTGCCCAGTGACAGGACCGGCACAAACTGAAACACAGGAGAGTCCTGAACATCAGGAAACACTTCTTGTCCTGTGCTGGTGACTGAGCACTGCATAGGCTGCCCAGGGGGCTCTGGGTGGCCGTGCTTGAGCAAGGGGTTGAACCAGATGCCCCAGAGGCTCCTGCCAACCTCACCCATCCTGTGATTCTGTGGTGTCAAAGCTGTAACTAAATCAAACGCTGTCTGCAGAGTTCTTGATTCTAACGTGTTTTTGTATACTTTTTCTGTGCTCTTAAAACACATTTCCCACACGTGGCATCTCATTTCACTGCCCTTCATCGGTTTTGTGTTTTTCTACTTTTCATTTGGAACTAAATGTTATGAGTCACTTGTAATAATTTCACTGCTGTAATAGTCAAATCTGTGAAACAGAATAAAGTCTTGTAACATAAAAAGCATGTTTGGGTTGATCCTCTGTAAAGCCATCTGCCAGAGACCTGCTACATCATGCTTGGAATAACTAGGTGACAATACTCCTTGATTTCAAGAGTATTTCACAATAGATGTTGATTTCCAGAGTCCTGTAGCCAGTGTGTGTGGACAGCAATTCCCATCTGCACCAGCTCTCTTACACTGCTTCTTGCCCATCTGATAGGGGTTAGCAGAAGCTCTACTAAATGTCTCATTTTTCTAGCACAAATAAATAATCCCCAGCCAAGTTTGCGCTTCTGTGTGCATTGTTTCTGGGATTAAGTAACACAAGGAAAGGGAAGGAAAAAGCCCGAAGCCAGGTTGTTCCATGCCTCAGGCCCTGAGCGTCCTCCGAGGGGGATGAGTGTGCAGGAATGCTCACACACAGCTCCTGCTCCAGCCATGAGTACCTGCTTCATGCATCTTGCAACCAGGGCTGGATCTGGGATCTGGAAGCTGCATCCTCCCTCCCAGCAGCCGTTCCTTTGGTCACTGCAAAGCTGCACGGCCCTTGGTGAAGGGTTCTGCGCCTTCTCTTGCTAACTGCTTCATCCAGCAACGTGGGAAGAGAAAGCTGCTTTGAGCAAGCTGGGAAAACAAAAGATGTGTTTCTGTATTCATGCCTGTGTAATTCCCCAAGAGAAATACAGTTGTTGGATGGGGACTTAGCATTATCCCAGGGATAAAGCTGCTGGCTGGTAAGCTTGGCCTAGAGGAATGGGTTTTGGTAAATAAACATCTTGGGAGTGAGTTATCAGAGAGATTTGGATACCAGGAAGCTGGTTTAGCTCAGAGGGGTTTTATAATGGATTAAGGGAATTCCATAAATAAAAATGTCCTGCTCTTGGAGCAACTCAAAGCTCTTTGCCTGGCAAAATGTAAATCCCCAAAATAAATAGCATGGTTCTACTTTCCTTTAGAAATAGATCCTTGGTATTATATTAAAACCCTGCTCTTGTTTTCTCTTCCACACAAGTGAGCAAGCAGGGTATTCGTAAAGTCCCATCCACACACTGCTGGAGGAGGGCTGCTGCTTCCTGCACCTCAGTGCCTGCATCACGAACAGGGAGGGGGTTGAGCTGCCTGGTGATGTAAATCTTCCTGATAAATTTGCTCACCAAGACACTTGTATGGAGCTTAGCACCAGCCACAGCAACAGCTTTGTGTTGCAAACAGCCATGCTTGGAAATTGCTGCTCTCCCATACCACAGTCCTGCAACTATTTCTGCCTGTGTTCACAGATACCCACAGTTAAAGCCCTGAGGCCAGCGGATTAATCGCAGGCACCAAGTTAAGCATGCATGTGTTTAGCAGGAATAAAGATTCATCCCAAGGATCAGCTTTGTTCCAAGGACTGGCGCTGATCCACAACTGGGATTTTCTGTCCTATGACAACGCAAGTAACGGGGATGTTTCCCCCACTGGTGTGTTGAAAAGCTCATGCTCTTGCCTTGCTCCTCTGCACACTCAAGCCTTGGCTGGATGCTCTTGCTGAAGCAGAGCCCTCAGCTCTGGGAGCTCTGTGTGTGGAAGCAGGTTCTGGGATGTCCCCTCTCAGCTTAGAATCATAGAATCATAGAATGGTTTGGGTTGGAAAGGACCTTGAGATCATCAAGTTCCAACCCCCCTGCCATGGGCCCGGACACCTCGCATTAAACCATATTACCCAAGGCCTTGTCCAACCTGGCCTTGAACACCACCAGGGATGGAGCATTCACAGCCTCCCTGGGCAACCCATTCCAGTGCCTCACCACCCTCACAGGGAAGAATTTCCTCCTTATATCCAATCTAAACTTCCCCTGTTTAAGTTTGAACCCGTTACCCCTTGTCCTATCACTACAGTCCCTAATGAAGAGTCCCTGCCATGTGTCCTCCTGCTCGGTGGGGTGGTGGGACGTCTGCATCCAGATGGACGATGCACATCTTTGTCTTCAGACTTGGAGTAGATAAAGAAATGGGGTGTTATGTTGAACCAGAGCTTTGGTTTTAAATGTCTAATGGAAAGGACCTGGGAAGGGATGTCTGAGCTGCTTTCCTGCCTTTCAGTCTCAGGCATGTGGGGCACCAATGGGAATTCTGCTCTTAATTTACAGTGGGGTTTTTCTACTTTGGAGTTACCCTACCAGGAAATGCGATGGGCCTACATGATTTCCCGTTTCCCCTGTTACACTCACATTCAGAAGCAGTGGTTCTCATGTTAAGTTTCACCATCAGAACATGTGGCCTTATTTATGTCGGGAGGAATTTCTTGTAAATGATGTTTTAATGAGAAAGCTGCATCAGTCACAGAGATGAAAGCTCCTACTGCTCGTAGAACGCCTTAGCTGTTGTCACCGCCCATACAAGGAGGGGAGACAAAACCATGCAGAAAACAAATGCATCTTTTTGTAAGCCACACTTCATTTTTACAGCGTTATTCAATTCCCTTGGAAGGCTTTCCGTGCAATTGGTTATTGAATTCAAAAGCCTGGCAGCCGTGGGATTTTTCCACATACGTTTTGATCTGCTCTATTTATCTGATTGTTCCACATGTGATGCACCGAGCGCTGGCTCCCAGTGGCAGCACTTTCAAAGTGTCAGCAGTTACTTCTGATCACGTTTGGGTCTTTGGCTTCATTCCCTGGGGAGCCTCAAGCAGGTACTGTGCTGTAATTAGGAATCGTCTCAATAAACCACCCCTGCATTGTAATTGCTTTTGTTTAGTGAGAGCCGGTGAGCGTCAGAACCACAAGTGACCCACCAGGTTGGATTGCTTCCAATTGGAATAAGGAAAGGCCAAAGGGGAGTTAGAAGTTCAGGCCCATGGGAAGTGGGCAGGCATTGGCTCTTGCTCTTCAACTAAATGGTCTACTTTGAAATGTCTCAATCAAACTGCATTTCATTCTGCAGCCTTTGCTGGCCATTCTTTCCCAGGATGAACTGCATCTTTGCCATGGCTGTGAAGCCTGGCACAGTGCATCCGGAGCAAGATTCAAGCTCCTATTCTGCAGTAAACACACCTCTCATTTTCTTGTTCCCTTCAAAAAGCCCATGTGAAAGCAGACTTGAATACTCCTTTTTCCTTACTTTTCCCAGAGGTAACCCAGGTTTGGCTCAGTCTGATTGGGATTTGCTTCCTCCAGGGGGGGAAAGGGGAGATCTGTTTCCAGGTGCTTTCTCAATCTGTGCACAGAGTTCACATTTTAATGCCATCTTCCATTACACCATGATGGCTCTGACTTTCAAACTGGCTGTGGTTTCAGGCCATCAATTTAAACAGCTCCTCTGCTCTGGAATGTGGAGTTACTGCATGGACTTTCCATACGGAAAACCCATCCCACTGCTGCAGAAAAAAGTCAGTCCAAGTTTTTCATCCCTGCTATGGATCTCTCAGTATCTTTCCTACCTTCAGCCAGGCTCTTTCCCTGCTGGCAAAGGGGAAATCTGGGATAGTTCTTCCAGCTGGGTGCATTTTCTTGGTTCTTTCTCTACCACAAGGATTTCCTTTGATATAGGTGTGACTGAATGGGCCCCATGGCAGATGTCTGGGTACTTAAAATGCTTCATGAGCACTGTAACCCATCATCTCAGGAACCAGCAGTGTAGAGCCAGGAGCTGCTGCATTCATTCTCTTTTGAGGAGAGTTAGTTCCCAGTGGATGCCCTGAAGTACTTCACCTTGTGTCTTTCCCTCTTTTTCCTAGCAAATAATTCATCCATTTGTCATCTTTATATGGTCGCTGGTGACACTGGAAATGATTCAGATGTAAAACGAGCCCCTCTGCTTCTCGTCTAAATGATATCATCTTGGCTCTGCCAGCCATCCTCTCAGGTCTCCTTCTTCATACAGGTGTCTGCAGGCTTGGTCAACTCATCTCACCTCTTGCTCTCACTCCAGACACACAAGCGCATTTATCCTGTTTGAAAGCTATCTCATCCTGTTACATTTTGTGCTCTAAAGGTACTTGCTAGGTTATTTGAGGTAAGCAGCAGCTCTCCACACCTCGCTGCTCAATCTAATGAGTCCGGCAAGTTTTAAAGCACATCTGCTTAAAGTGCTTTGAGTGCTTAACCCATTCACACCCATCTCCGCTGCCAGACACTGTTTCAATGCTCTGCTAATTCAGTTCTTCCCATCTCCTCCCCATGGCTCAAGCACCAGTACTCTGATGGATGGGGCGGTGGAGGGCAAAGAGCAGTGGCAGTTTCATGAACGTTTTCTTCCGTGGTGGAGCTGGCAGAAGGAACCTTCTCCTTCCTCCATGGGCTGTGCAGATGTATGACACTGACCTGAGTTACAAATAACCCCGGGTTTATGCTGTTGCTGGGCTCCCCAGTCTGGTCCATTGTGTTGCACCATCACTGCAGGAGAAACACCAGGGGCTGTGTGAGGATCTATGGTGGGGAAAGGAACAATGCCCAAGGAGAAGGCTGTACCCAAGCCCTGTTCCCTTCGGTCTGGCTTGCTGGCAAGATCCCCCCACCCTCCAGCCTGCTCTCCCTAATGGTAGCATCCTCTTCCCGCTTGCTTGATGCAGCTGCCACAGCCCTCTTTATGGCTTGGTCATGCTCCCCTCATCTCCAACCAGAACGCTCTTTAAACCTAAAACAAAACTGATTAGGCAGGCTTAGGAAACAGCCAAAGCTTCAAAGGATTAACCGCTACGGCTTCCTGCTACCCTTGGAGAGATCAAACACTGGATGCTGTTAGCCCTACAGCAGCAGCAAATGGTACTAAATCTGCCGCAGCAATCAGGGGATTTCCGTGGCGGAGCAGGCTTGCAGGAGGAGCGAGGGCTGAGCTGTGAGATTACAACGACTAACCTGGATCCTTGGCCAAGCCAGCGCTCGGGGGCAGCGAGGCAACCGTGCAGAAGAACCTGGAAGGCACAAAGAGCATGGGGAGGGTGGAAAAGTTCAGGTTGGGGTGTTGTAAAGGACAGGAGAAATGGTTCAAATTGTGGGGTGATGGCAGCAGTGGCTCAGAACTTGGGGATCACAATGTGGCGGCAGGAGGATGGGGCTTGGGCATGGCTGTAGATGGGTATCATTGCCTCATGGGGGCAACATCCAACCCAGCCCGACTGCCATCCCTATCCCTGCCATCCCTATCCCTGCCATCCATCCCCTCTCGGGCTAAACCCCAGTGAAATCACTGCAAGTGAAACCACCCATACCGGGAAGGGTATCCAGCTGTGAGCCGAAACCGGCTGCAAGAGCAGGATACGGCTTTTCGGGGGGGGGGAAATGCTGACTTAAGGACCGAAGATGAATTTGCTCATCCATGGGGGCAGGACACAGCCCTCTCCCATGGATAATTAAAAGCAAACCCCACTGAAAGCGATGGGGCTGCTGCACAGGCCGCGGATGCAGAGGGAAATTTAAGGCCAAAACGCGTTTTTTCCGCACCGCACGAAAGCCCCCGCGGGGCCGGGGGCGGGGAAAGGGGCCCCGCGGGGCGGACGCAGGCCCCGGACCCCTCCTCGCCAGGCGCTGCCCGCCTGACGCCTCCCTCGGCCGGGCGGCCATGGTGGCGGGGCGGCGGTGGCGGCGCTGAGCAGCGCGGCCATGGCGGGTCCCGGCGCGGCCCATCCGCGCCTGGCGCTGGCTCTCGCCGCTCTGGCGGCGCTGGTCGCCGTCAAGTACTACCGGGACGCTGAGGCAGCCCGGCAGCAGGTACCGGGCAGGGCGGGGAGGGCGGTGCTGAGGCCGCGCGGCCTCTCACGGAGGGAGGGAAGGAAGGAGGGAGGGAAGGGTTGTGAGGGAGGGAGGGTTGAAATGGCGGGCGCCGCGGCCGCGGGGTCCCCGGCCTTGAGGAGGGGGCTGCAGGGCCGAGGGGAGCACCGCACCCGTGAGGGAGTAGTGGGCAAAGGGGCTTCATGTGGCCACCGGTTGAGTGGCATCGGTGGCCACTGGCTGTGAGGTAGCAGGGCTGAGGTGACCGCACGGAGGGTGCCGGGGGTTGAGGGGACCACCACACACAGTGGCCACTGGCGCTGAGGTGGCTGTGGCCTGGTTCAGGTCACCGCCAGGTATTGGTGGCCACTGAGGTGGAGGTGGCCATGGGGACCGAGGTGACTGCCACTGGGCTGAGATGGCCACTGAGGTGGAGGTGGCCATGGGGACTGAGGTGGCTGCCACTGGGCTGAGATGGCCACTGAGGTGGAGGTGGCTATGGGGACTGAGGTGACTGCCACTGGGCTGAGATGGCCACTGGCCACTGGGCGAGGTGGCCATGGGGACGAGGTGGAGGTGGCCATGGGGACCGAGGTGACTGCCACTGGGCTGAGATGGCCACTGAGGTGGAGGTGGCCATGGGGACTGAGGTGGCTGCCACTGGGCTGAGGTGACCACAGAAGGGTGGTGGTTGCCACTGATTTGTGGTAGCCACAGGGCACTGGTGGCTTCAACCCTGCAGTGGTCACAGGGACTGTGGTGGCCAGCACCAGGCACCAGCAGTGCCTGCTCCTGCCAGGAAAAGGAGGAAGAGCAGGAGCTTCACACCTCCTCTCACCAGGTCCTTCCTGCCTGCCTTGTTCCCTGGAAAAGGCCCCAAACTCTCAGGTGTTTGTGGGGTTTTTCTCGCTAGAAATGTACGTTTTGTGTGCCCTGATGGATGCTGGGTTTGGTTGGAATTCCTGTAACTCAAATGGCTGCTGTGTGCTTTGAAGAGGGCATGGCTCTGTTGGAGATCCTGCTTTGGCATCCTCTAAAGAGGTTTGTAGGAAAGAGCAGACTTCTTGATATTTCTGTGGTGAAAAGAGAAGTGTTTTTAAAGGAGGCCTCTTCCCTTTGTCTCTTCTTGCACTGCAGGAGGGGGAGAATGGCTCAAACCAGGTAAATAGAAGAGTTTGTTTTGGGTCCGGAGGTCCTGGCTGGGAGGACCCAGCCCTGCCTCTGGCCAGCTCTCCGGGAGGTTTTTGTGTTGCAGAGCACAGGCAGCAGGCTGTGAGTGGGGGCTGCTGGAGGGAACAAAACCTGAACAGAGGAAGGGGATGATTTGTCCTTTGTTTTCCTTAAAACACGCATCCTGTCGCTTCCATAGGGATGTTTATGTAACTACACAAGGCACAGGCAGGTGGGGGAAGAAAACTGTGAAAAACCCCAACTCTCTTCCCCTGCAGAAGCTCGGTTTTACTCCTCTGGCACAAACAGGGAAACTTTTTATTTCTTACAATCCCAGTTTAGAAAGAAAAAAGAGAAAATCCACAAGCTCTGGAGCACTTTCTTTGATGTGGGTGTTATCAGAAAGCAAAAGGCCAAGCCCTGACATCTCACTCCCCTTTTAAGCCCAGCTTTCATCATCCCTTTGGACTGGTGCATGCTCTGGGAAGCCGTTGTTCCTCCCTGGCTGGGGTCTCCCAGGCCAGCTGGATGCTCCCAGGGTGCCAGTGGGTCAGGCTGTTGGAGCAAGTCTGGAGTTGGGCCACAAGGATAAGGGGGCTGGAGCATCTCCTGTGTGGAGACAGGCTGAGAACACTGGGGCTGTTCAGCCTGGAGAAGAGGAGCTGCGTGGAGACCGCAAAGCAGCTTCCAGTGTCTGAAGGGGGGAACAAGGATGCTGAAGAGGGGCTCTTCATTAGGGACTGCAGTGATAGAACAAGGGGTGATGGGTTCAAACTGAAACAGGGGAAGTTCAGGTTAGATATAAGGAAGAACTTCTTTACTGTGAGGGTGCTGAGCCGCTGACACAGGGTGTCCAGAGAAGCTGTGGCTGCCCCATCCCTGGCAGTGTTCAGGGCCAGGTTGGACACAGGGGCTTGGAGTAACATGGTCTAGTGTGAGGCATGCCTGCCTCTGCAGGGGGTTAGAACTGGATGATCTTCAGTCCTTTCCAACCCAAACCATTCCATGATAATTATCTGATGGTTCTGCAGCTGGTGGGGGTTTATTGCTTCACCTGTGTGAAAGTGCAGGCTGAGGGGATGAGAAAGTGCTTTCAGTGCTTGCTTAAAAACTGATCTTTGGATGCTAACATCCAACACCCAAGCATCCATGTTGTCCTTCACATCCTGCTGCTTTAGACGCAGTCAGAGATGTTCTTCTCTGTGTGTGGGGTGTGACTGGTTCTTTTTCTGCTTTCAGCCCTGTTAAGCACTGATCACGACTTTTTCCTACAGCAGCAGGCAGTCTAACCAGCTACAAACTTTGTTGCTCATTTGTCTCCCATCCCTTGAGGTCCCTGTCTGTGAAGTGCAAAAAGAAGAGAGACTAAAAGATTCATCAGCAGGAAGTGGCTGATGTGCTGTAGAGATGACTGGGAAATGGAACATCTTTTCAGAGCTCAGTACACATCCAGGACAGGCTCCCCTGCAGAGGAGAAGCCATCACGCTCCAGGCGTGCTTCCCTGCTCCAGGAGCCCACTCTCAGGCGAGCAATCACATGGGCCCTTGTGAGGTTAATGCATTCCGTGCTGTGCACAAGCTCACTCAAGAGGTTAGAGGGATACTGAAACCTGGCCCAAGGCTCCATGACATGACCCTGGCGCCTGGCTGTTGGGGAAGTTGCTCAGGAAAATGTTATCCATTTACAGGGGTGGGCATCCCTGTTCATTTGAAGAGCAAAGGCATATTTTCTGGCCCCAGAAACATGAACAGCCCAGAGAGAGGATTGTTCCTGTATGTAGAGAATCCTTCATTCCTTTTTTTCAGCTGTATAGTTCCTGCACGCTCCCCTCCTTGTCTGTGCACAGCCATGTCTGCTTCCAGATCTCTGCTTTTTATTCCAGGGTCTTTATTTCTGTTTGTCTCAGTCCTGAATGTGCCCTGGAAGGCTCTTAAGTGCTTTTGTTGCTTCAGTTGACAGGAGCAAAGCCTTCCAGGCTGCATTAGTGCTGCTTCAGGCTGGCAGGCAACAGATGGAGAATAAACTAGTTCAGGAGCTCTGGGGATGGTGGTGGTGCTGCAGGCAATAGAGAATAAACACCGTTAAACAGCAGAATACAGAGTATTTATCCTGCAGCTTTAGGCTTTTACAGGGGTGGCAGGGGAAGCGGTCCCAAATGATGGGTCACAGGGGATGCGCTGCAGGCTGTCTGCCAATGATGTGGCTTGTCTGACTTGCTCTATGTCTCTCTCTTCCTCTCACAAACATGGAGCTCTCTTATTCTGCCTGTAACTTGTCCCTTTCCCTTCAGTGCTGAATGCTGCAGGATAGAAATGACCAGAAGCATCTAGAGCCTTTCTGGAGCTGCTCCAGGGGAGACATTGCATTTTAGTGGTGTTTTCCACTGGATGAGCTCCTGGTGGACTTTGAAAAGAGAGAAACTGAGGCACAGTGTGGCTGGGGTCTTGCAGAAGGTTCTGGAGAAGCCCATGGGATGTGTGGCTCCCCAGTGTATGTCTGACTGATTAGGCAGGAGACAAAATGCTCCATCCAGTCCTGCAGCTGGAATTTTGGAGGGGAGACTTGAGCAGAGAATTGTTTGTGTGCCAGGAGAGGTGTGGCATGGAGCTCTGCACGGGTGTAAGTGGCTCGATTCATTTCCTTTGTGGTTTTGTGATGTAGACAGTCACAGCTTTGCCTTTGTTTCACTGCACATCACTTAATCACAGAATCACCATCTCCAGGTGCTCTCAATAGCTGCAGGTTTAGCACTGTCTGGAAAAAGTTGGCTTTTTTTTCTGACAAAAGACTTTGAGGCTGACTATGAGCAAACGATTCAGTTGGAATTACTTAGCCAGATGTAGTTTTAATATGCTCATGCCAGCAGTTCCTGGACACCAATCCCTATTGTAAATAGCACAAAATCCTGCCAAGGGGCGTTAATCTTTTGATTTAATGGCTGTGTTTGTGTGCTGGAAAGAATTTAAATTAACTCTGAAGCTGAGAGGAGCACGGGTGAATTTCTGCAGGAGGCTCGAATGAAATCTCACTCACTTCTTGCTTCTTCCTGAACTAGGAGCTGGCGCTGAAGTCTTTGGGAAGTGAGGGGATGTTTCTCTTTTCTTCTCTGGACACAAACAATGATCTGTACCTCAGTCCCGAAGAGTTCAAGCCAATAGCTGAGAAGCTGACAGGTAGGTATCTGTCTGCCTGCAGAGCTCCCTCTGCACAGTCCAAGTAAAAGCCATGGGTAATGCACTGAACTGGTTTTATTCATGTCTTTATTTTTTCAGAGCACTGTTTTGAGTCTTATTTACATGAAGAGGGGCTGCTGAGCTTTACAAGGGTCTGAAAAGGCTTAAGCACTAGACATATATCACTTCCACAAAGTAGAGGGTTTGTAAGACAAAAGTTCCCATTGCTGGGCTAGCAAAGCACAGAAGTTACTTTGTCTAGAGCTTAAAGGGGATTTGGGGTGGGTGAATGCAACAGATACAGCTCAGCCCAGGCAAGGCCAAAGCTTAGTTAAGTGGCAGTGCTTCATTCATACCCTGGCTGAGGTGTCTCTTCCAGATAGCAGTTTGTGAGTGATCCCGTATGGAGGCTCTGTCAGCCTGTATCTTGGTGGTGCCACACAAGAAACAGTGCGATGATTATAGTGTACAGTGCATTCCCAATACAGTTGTTTGCTTGTGCTGTAATTCACTGGGTAAAGCATGTGTTTTGACCCTCCAAGGTGAAGTGAGGCTGTTCAGCCAAACTATGGGGTTTAGAGAGTTGTCTGCTGAAAGGAGAGCTCTGCTTCAGCTGGTTCCTGGGGTGTGTCTGAGTTCTGCTGCTGGATGAAGAGCTGGGAGACTCCCAGTACTCCTGGATTTGCCAGGATAAATGTGTAATCACTTCACAATTGTTCAAAAGGGGAGGGAAGGGAAACAGCTGCCTAAATTTCTGTTCCTTTGTCTAGGGGTTGCTCCCGTCTCAGAATTTGAAGAGGAGGAGACATCTGATACAAGCGGGGAGACATTGTCCATCGTGGCTAAATTCCAGCCTTTGGTCATGGAAACGATGACGAAGAGCAAAGACGGTTTCTTGGGAGTAGGTGTCATGCAGGATGTATATGGCCACAAATTCTGGTATAAACACATGCAAAGGGCTGGTAACATCACCAGCAATAAGTGCTGGCATGGTAGGGTGGGGACATAGTCTTGCTCAAGGCCATGGGATTTGCTTTGATGAGCAAACTCGCAGCTTTCTGCAGCAGTTCATTGTTCTCAGCACACTCGGTATCACTGTGCCCCAGTTTATGCACCCTTCCTGGGAAGCTTGAAGCAGCAGTATGTGCTACGTTCCCCTCTCCCACTTCCTATTACTGACATGGTTAAAAATTGACAGAACTATTTGGTAGTAGTTGGGGTGGTAAAAAGAATTTAAACCATTAGAATTCTTTTTCCCCTTCTCCAAAGCCTCCGTACATCCATGAGCATGACTGCAGGATTGAAGAAGCTGGTCGAGGCTCTGACAGTGTCTTCTGTTCACAGATTTCTCATGTTGCCCTCTCTGGGCTGAGGAACTGGACTGCCCCAGCAGCCCCTATGAGCGTGTTGCTTGCCAGGCAGTTTAAAGCCTTTCTTCCTCCAAAGAATAAACTGGATCTCGGGGATCCATGGTGGATAATTCCTAGTGAATTGAACATCTTCACTGGGTATCTTCCCAACAACAGATTTTACCCTCCGCCTCCCAAGGGCAAAGAGGTGAGATATGATACTCAGTTTCTATATACCTGAGAAGTAGTTTGTGTAAATGTTCTGCCTTGTAGCCCAGATGAATCCCAAGAATCCCTGGAGGGACAAGGCTACTGCATTCTGTCTCCCTGGATTTTTAAAGGGAGCAAAAAAGCTGCAGCTTGCAGCCAGGAAGACTGTCTCCTAAATTGGAGGTAAAACTGAGAGCAGGCAAAAGCTCTGGGTATTTGTCAGGGCCAAATGAGGCTGATTTGAGTAACTCGGGCTGGGATGATGGAAACTTGGAAACAATGGGAAGAGCATAAAAAGCATGGAAATGGATTAATTCTAAACCCAGTCTCTTGCTTTAGCTCCTTGTTTTGTGATGAGGTAGGTCTCTGAGCTGATTTTTATAGCATAGCAGTTCTCTTGCCTTCCTGATCTGGTGGGGAGCTACTTTGGAGCTGCAGCTGGCCTGTGGTGAAGGAACTGTTCTCATTTTCGCTCTCTTACGTTTCACTCTCTAGATCATCATCCACAAGCTTCTGAGCATGTTCCACCCACGCCCCTTTGTGAAAACCCGCTTTGCTCCGCAGGGAGCTGTGGCCTGCATCCAAGCCATCAGCACCTTCTACTACACCATCGCCTTCAGGTGAGGCCATGGCCTGAGGTTAGAGGAAAGCTTCTGAATCTGTTCTGTATCTCAAGGGAACAGAAAAGGCTGCTGTGAGCCTGTAGCAGAGAGTGTGTGTGTCACTGCATGTTGTGTTCCCCAGCAAGACCAGATGTGTCCTGGCTGGGAGAGAAGCAAAGCAGCTCAAGGAAGAGGGTGGTTCACAACCAGCTCTTGCCAATGTGTGATGCTTTGCTGATGCCCATGCTCCCAGAGCCCCTGGTGGGGCAGGGACTGTTGCCCAGATGTAGGACATTGCCCTTGGTTTGGAGCTATCCCTGACTGAAAGGAGAGAGTCTGATTAGACTTCTTTTCCTGGGAGTGTTACACACAGCTTTTACTTGCCTGATCAAGCTGGAAGGGAGGCTGAAGGGGTCTTAGGCTGTTCCGTGTTTTAAGGAATAATAACATAATTCATCCTTCCTGGATGGACACTATTGCCCAGTTCCAAAAGGCATCAGTAGTGGAGATGATTGTGACCCCAGGGATCTGCTCCAGTGTTTTATCACTGTGTGACATGAAAAGCTTTTTGAACTGAACCTCTCTGCCCCAATTTAGCTTCATAATTCCTGGTGCCTGGAGATAACTTTTTGCTGCTGTCATCTTCTGTCCTCCCGGCACTGCAGCTCATGGCTCCCTTCTCATTTCAGGATCCACGCCGAGTTCCAGCTGAATGAGCCACCACACTTCCCCTTCTGGTTTTCCCCAGGCCAGTTCACAGGTCACATCATCCTCTCCAAGGATTCTTCCCATGTCCGAGAATTTAAGCTCTTTGTCCCTAACAACAGGTACAGCTGTTTCTCTTTCTGGGTGCTGAACAGACTTGAGGCTTGTATAAACGAGGCCCAGTGGAACACAGGGGCTCTGGGATCCTTTCCTGTGTAGGGCTTGGGGCTGTGCATGGGGAAAGGCTGATGGGTTCTCTTTATGTGAAGGTATAAGTGCAGCAGCAGCCCTGTCCCTTGTGGTATGTGGGCATCCTGGCCTGTGCAAGGCAGGCTGAGCTTTGGGCAGCCTAGTTCTACAGTTTGCTTATCTGCTTTCCCCACTCATCCTTCACTGCTAGTGGTCATCACAGTCATCATGTCCTGTCCTCATCCTTGTGTGTCTTGATGTCCTCCATCATGCCTCCACTGCCCTAGAGATGGGCAGCATCCTCTTTGTTAGCAGCACTGCTCCCCTTGACCAGCAGTTTCCAACTGGGACAGGGACTCCTGCAATTGTCACATACCTGTGGTGACAATGTGGCTGCAGAAGGCTCCTTGGGTGTCTGTGATGGATGAGCTCACGTTTTTCAGCCAAGTTCCTGGAAAATCTGAGTGAATTGAGCTCTGCTGTTGCTTGTAAACCTGGCAAATGCATCTCTACCGGTCGCTGAGGATCCCTGACCCATTTCAGGGTCTGATTCAATCACCAGTAACTGTCCCTTGGTACTTGGAGAATGGGGAGGGATGGGTAGGGTGTGGGCAGCAGCCCCTGGCAATCCCAGTGCCTGGCTTAAAGCACTGAAATCAAGCAAAGGCTGATGCTCTTAGTTCAGCATATTTTTTGCCTGGTGTTTTACAGGTTGAGGTTTTGTGTGCAGAGCTTTGCACTAGCTCATTCCTGCTGTCTGGCAAGTAGCTGGAAGTGTTTCAGGGGAAAGAAGCTTCAAATCTCTTTACCCATGACATCTGGAGTGAAAATTCTATTATAACATTACCCTGGCGACTCAACCCCTATGGCTCTGTCAGCACATTTCTTACAGCAAGCAGACACTTGCATCTCTGCCAGCAACTTCTTACAAAAGCCTTTTGCTTCCAGAAAAACCCCACCACTTTTAAAAGTTCCGCAGGCTCAGAATGTGCAAGTTGAGTGCTGTGAAGGAAGGGGCAGCAAAGTCACCTCTTCCCTGTACTTTGGCAGTACTTAAAACGTGTGAGCGTGTTTGCCCAGAGCATTGAGTGGGTGCCTGGACCCTGATCCTGGGCTCCAGTGTTGCTGGTCTTGTGCAAGGAACAGTGATCTCCAAGGAGGCAGGGCCTCTGGGCTTTAATGCTGACCCTGCAAGAGGAGCATTGGATGCTGTCATCTGTTTGGGGTTTGCCATACACAGCCTTATCCTTGGGTGACTCTGAACATCCCTGGTTCACCTTGCAGGTCTCTGAATGTTGATATGGAGTGGCTGTATGGAGCAAGTGAAAGCAGCAACATGGAGGTGGATATTGGATACCTGCCTCAGGTCTGTAGACACTCAGTCCTCCATACACATGCAGCAGCTCAGCAGGGATTTATGCTGCCATGGCCATGAGCTGTATGACCTCAGCTGTCCCTGTTCTTCAGAGCTTTCTCGAGCATATTTCAATCTAATTGTATAATCTCTGTTGATCTGTGTATGTCCTCTGCAGCTCTGTGGCTCCCTATTACCAGTTGTTGTGACACTGTAGTTTTCCCTTTGTGTGGGTTGAATCCTGCACTCCCGAAGACCTGTGCCACTTCCCAGCTTTACAGAGTTGTCTGAGATGAGGATCTGAACCCAGGCCCCGAGCCCAGAGGGGTGTACAAACAACAGCGTGTCTGAATTTAGAAACTGCATGAGGTTATTCCTCTATTTTGTGGTAATCCCAGCTCTTGTGACAGGAAACATGAGTCAGGATTTTAAATGCCTGAATTTAACAGTCCCATTTGGTCTTAAACTAGATCGATGCTTCTTTTTAATTGCCAAGAGCTGAGAAAACAGACTTGCAAAATCATTTGAGCTGTCCCAGAACGGGGAACTGGGGGAAGCTCCTGAACAGCTTTTGTATTGCCCCCTCTCGTGGTTAGCCACGAGCTGGGTAAGAGCTGTGCAGGAGATATGAGCAAGAACTTCAAACCAGCCCTGTGGAGCTCTGATTTGAAGGACCTGGTGTCCCACTGTCAGAAGCCTCCACTGGGAAGGTGGGAACACGGAGTGAGCAAGTCTCATGCAGTTGCCATCTAAAGAGCACAGTCAGACAGTAACAGAAGGAAATGAAGTTGCTTTCCTGCTGTTCCCCACTAAAACACATCTGCAACTGGTAAAGTGCAGCTCCAATAGACAACAGATGGAGCTGTATCTTCATTGGAAGCTGCACAGTCGTATTTTGCCTATTCATCCTGTCCTGGAATACAGATAAACCAGAAGTGGAATGTCTGCAATGTCCAGCTTTGCTTCTTTGTTCTCCTCCAGATGGAGCTTGAATCAACTGGACCTTCCATCCCCTCTGTGATCCATGATGAGAATGGAAATGTGATTGACAGCAGGGATCCCTCAGGGGAGCCCATCCAGTTTGTGTTTGAAGAGATAACCTGGCAGCAGGAAATACCCTGGGAAGAGGCAGCCCAGAAACTGGAAGTGGCCATGTATCCATTTAAGAAGGTGAGGAAGAGGGATCGGACTCTTCCTTGCATGTTTATTTGGGGCAGGTTGTCTTCACTGGGATGTCCAGTCACCTCGAGGACCAGCAGAAACCAGAGGCCACAGCCTGATCAGCATTTAGCATAGTGTGGGGGTCTCCTCCCAGTCACTGTGTGTGTGACTGGATGGACTTCCAGTTTCCAGATGAGTACAGCATCTCTAAAAGGCCGTTTTTGGTTGCACAGCAGCACAGGCAGGAGCAAAGCCTGATGTCATGTGTCTCAGGCTTGTAAATGTGGGCTCATCCTTCCTTCCTGTTATCACCAGCTGCCAATGTGATTTCTGAGAGAGGCAGCTTACAAATGCTTTTCCTCTGGCATTACTTCTGCCACGTTGAGCTACCTTTGGACCAAGCTTTCCTTATCAGCAGCAAACACACAATCTGCCTGTGCCTCTGCATCCCACAGTGAGACACAAATTGATAGCATTGGGTGACCCAAACTATTTAACATGCCAGTAGCCTGTGGAGCAGATGGCTACTGCCTGTCACTGCTTCCTTGGCTGAAGGGATGCGTTTCAATGGCTGCCTCCTTGTGCCTGAGCTTACAAATGTCCCTTTGAGCTGCCAAGATGTTAATAAAGTTCCCTTCATTTGAGTGATTGGAATAATCTCTGTGCAGGCTCCCTCACAGCCAGATTTTAGGCCTTTTCAGTAAGGTTTTGTAACAAATACCTCAAGGCCACATTTCCCAGGCTGCTGAGGGGAGTTTGCAGCCAGTCAGCTCACAGCTGTGCAGATGCTCTCTGCAGTGGGTGAAGATGGGGCTCTGCAGGTCCTGGTAACAGCCCACACACTCTGAGGGCCTTGCTGTAATCTCAGCAGAGGATGAAGTTGTCCTGGGGGACACCACCACAGTTGTCATTTGCTTTAATCTGCAGAATCTACTGCAGGTTCAACTGTGTACTTCACCTGTGGTTCCTTCAGACCCTGCTTGTATCTGAGATGGGCTGTTCTGTGTCTTGTTTCTTTGCCTCCAGGTCTCCTATCTTCCCTTCACACAAGCTTTTGAGAGAGCAAAAGCAGAAAAGAAGTTGGTGCACTCGATCCTGCTGTGGGGTGCCCTGGACGACCAGTCCTGCTGAGGTGAGGACATTCCCAGTGTGGCTGGAGGAATGATGTGCCTCATTCAGGCTCTGAGGAGAGCTCGGGGTCAGAGAGCTGGTCACGAGCCAGCAGTAAACATTGTGCTACTCGTTTTGGCTCTGAAGATGCTGAATAGAAAAGGCTGGAAGTGGGGAATTATTGATCAGATCTTAAGGCCCCAGTGGCAGGATGAGATCTATTTATGACAAGCCCTAGATGAACTCACCAGTTCAGGTGCCTTTCTCAAGGTGAATGCATGGGTCTGGTCTTTCTCCTTTCTCTTTCCCTCTCAGTCTGCTTGGTTAGAGGCAGCATCTGCAGGGTGAAAGGGATTCTGCTCTTTGCTGTGTCCCTGGCACCTGCACAGGAGACACCAGAGCCAGATGTGGGCTTGCAATTGTCCTTATGCATCACTGATCACCCCCTGCACCTGAGGGCATGCCACACTGGGCAGAGTAATGGGTGCGACAGGGCTGGGTGCCTTTAGTCCTATCTGCCTTAAAACCTCTCCTGCATGTGTGGGCTCTGCTCAGCATGAACAGCACAAGGCACTTGGTTTGGATCCACAGGGCCTAATGCATTTTCTAAATGCACCACACCAGTCACCTCTATGGCAGGCATGTCCTGGTCCTTGTTGCCTTGCAAGTGGCTGGAGTGAGGCCTCTCTGCCAGCAGCACATGTGGGATACAATCAGCTTTGGAAGTCTGTCACTCAAGGAGAAAAAATCCAATGTGCTGGGTTGGGGGGAGCCTGAGCCAGCTGCGACAGCAGCCAGAGCTCTGGCATCGTGGTGGCATTAAACATGGCACCAGCCAGCTGAGGAAACACAGCAAACCATTGTCTGCTTCTCCTGGGCCAGGTTCAGGGCGAACTCTCCGGGAGACCGTCCTGGAAAGTTCGCCCATCCTCACCCTGTTGAATGAGAGCTTCATCAGCAGCTGGTCACTGGTGAAGGAGCTGGAAGAGCTGCAGGTCAGTGTCACATCCACCTTCAGTGCAGCTGGTGCTGGTGAATGCAGATGGTGCCTGGCACAAGGGGGGAGCTCATGCCTGTGCCGGGGGGGGGTGTGTGTGGGGTGTGTGTTCATTTCCAAGCCCTCCCTGTCCTAGTGATCGCAGGGGGCAAGCAAGCACCAGATGGAGGCAGGTTAAGCACATGGCACAAGGACTTCTCTGTCATGGTGCCAGTTTTAAAAGCTAAACCAAATGCTTCACTGTGAAATAGTTCTGCCCAAAGCTATTTGTGCCATCAACAGACTGACTTCTCTATAACCCAGGGAGCAACCAAATACTGTCTGAACCCAGAGTCTTCCCATTGCACCTTTCCCCACTTGTGACCCTGTCTCTGGGCCTGTGCTGTCAGCTGGGATCAGTCATAGAGCTGGAGACTCCGGGGAAATGCTTGGATCAGACTCTTGGTGTGCCTGGGAACTGCCAGTGATGGGTGATTTTGTTGTTTGGGGAGAATCTACAGCTGAAATACGTGAGAGGGAGACTGACTGGAAGAGTATCATAAAGCAGATGGTGCAAAAAGAACCAGTTATAAAGCAGCTCTTTGGTCCTTCCCTTCCTCCTGTGTTCAATGTACTCCTCCCGCACTGTTCTGCTAGTTTTTGTGTATGCAAACATATTTCTTTGGGCTCTCTCCTTACAGAACAACAGAGAAAATGAGTTCTACAGCAAGCTGGCTGACCTGCACCTGGAGAAATACAACTTCCCCGTTGAGATGATCATCTGCCTCCCTAATGGCACGGTGGTATGTTGGTTACTCCTGCAGCTGAGCTTGGCTCTTCCCATTAGAGCATGCTCTCTTCAGGGTTGTCTGCAGACCCTGGAATGAGTGTCCACTCCTGCAGCCATTCCCTGGCTCCTTGAGCCTTGCTGGGGCCATAGTCCCTCCCAATGCTGTGCTCTCAGGGATGCTGTGGCAGACAGACAGCAACTCTGTGAAAAAACCTGGAAGCGTCTCTTTATACAGAGACAGAACAATAGCAGCTCAGGTGGGGGAACAGTCAGACTTGAAACAAATGTCTGCCTGTGCTTCCTCACTGTCCCTGGTGGAAGTCAGTGACTCTTGGGAAGCCACTGTAGCTTTTTCCTGCACCTCCTGTTCCTTCTGCTGGTGCTCTGCAGAAAACCTCTCCTCATCAGCACCTTCTAGCACATTTCTCTCTCTTCATTCCCCAGTTTGTCATAGCCATTAACAAGTCCACACTCTTCAGCTCTGCTGTGCTCCCCAGCAGCACCCCCCTTGAGTTGGAAGAACAACAGCAGTTCCTGACACTTGACAGTGCAGTGCTGTGTGTGTCAGCAGCTGGGCTGTCTGCAGTGGAGGATCTTGCCACGGCTAATCTGATCATGCCCACATTTGCCAGGTATTAGCTTGTGACACAGGCAGTGACATCCTGCACTCGAAGCTCTTGGGCTGTGCTGCACTCATGGCTGGGCTGGCATCTCCCAGTCCTTACTTAGAGCCAGGTTCTACTCCTGCCTGATTTGTCCCAAATCACCTTCATCTTCTTAACCTAAGTGAGGGGTCAGCACTCTTGGTTGGGGAAAGAAACAGACCATTGTCTTTCCCACATTGTAATCTGACTGTAAAATGCAAACCCTGAAGCCTGGATGCTGAATAAGCATTTGCAAAGTATTAGAGATTCTTTAAGAGTTGTTCCAGTCTTGTCACATCCTGGCTAGAGGCCAAGACAGTGGATAGGGAGTTGTTCTGGCCCTTAAATTCTTCTCATCTGTTTTGTTTCCCAGATTCACCATATTAATGCAAACTACTTCCTGGACATTACTTCTATGAAGCCTGAAGATGTTGAAAGCAGCATCTTTAGTTTCTCAACCAATTTTGAAGACCCTTCAACTGCAACTTACCTCCAGTTCCTGAAGGAAGGACTGCAAAGAGCAAAGCCATACTTGCAGACCTAAAACCAAAGGCACCTGAATGCCCCACAGAGATGGACAAAGACTTCAGAGATCTACTTTGACTACAGAAATTCTTCCTTGTCTTTATGCCAGACATTGATGCTAAGATGGAGACCCAGGGCTGGGGCTTTGCTCTTGATGTTAGCTTGAGGCAGTTCAAGTGATACCAGTTTACATAATCTGCCCTTCTGAGGTCAGGCAAACTGTGACAGGAGTGAGAACACTTGAATCTGTAACCGTTCTTGGTGCATACTCCTTGGTTTGCCACCCACCCTCATGTTTTTCCAGCTCCTGTTCAGACTTGGAGGTGAAAGTCATGTACCAGCTCTACCACACGTCACCCAGAAGGCCTTGACCTCAGGACTGGACTGTGTTGGATCCTGGAGAGCAGCATTACTGTTAGACCCAGCCCTTGTGGTGTGATGGTGCAGAACCCAGCGCAGGTGGGAAGCTCCCTCCTGGTAGCCAATGCCCTCCACACACACCTCGTGTCACGTACCAGCTCTCCATGGCAGCATTTATGGACAGCAGTGGCCACCAGTGCATGATGGACTGTGCTGATCATGGGTAGATGTAAACGCAGGTGGAGCTGGAGCACACGGCTCTGGCCTCCTCCCAGCACTGTGTGCGGTGGTGGGAGAGTGGTCTTCTTTATGCATCCAAGGGTTGGATGAGGTTGGCACAGTAGACCGGAGACCATGGCCTTAGAAGTACGGTGCAGCTCAGAGGCATGGGTTCATCAGGGACTGGAGCAATAGGACAGGGGGCGATGGGTTTAAACTAAAACAGGGAAGGTTCAGGTTAGATGTAAGAAAGTTCTTTACTGTGAGGGTGGTGAGGCACTGGCACAGGCTGCCCAAAGAAGTGGTGAATGCTCCATCCCTGGCAGTGTTCAAGGCCAGTCTGAGCAGAGCCTTGGGTGACCTGGTTTAGTGTGAGGTGTCCCTGCCCATGGCAGGGGGTTGGAACTGGGTGATCATAAGGTCCTTTCCAACCCAACCCATTCTGTGGTTCTGTGATTAACAGGGATTAGTGGTCAGAGTCCTGCGGGATGTGCATTCCAGGCTGTGGGACACGGCAGTGAGCAGTGCCCAGCCCCACTCCCAGCCCCTAGCTTTGGGAGCTTTGCTCGGAGGGCATTGGTTTCATGCTCTGTCCATGTTTGATTTGAGCTTGCAAGCCCCACTGAAGAGAAACCATGACATTCCCTTCAGGAACTGCCCCAAGAGCATTAACTGGCCCAGAACTGAGCAGTTCTAAAAGCCAGCAGCACTCATGGAAATTCCAGGAGTTTGCCAGAGAAATGCCTTGGACAGTGCCATTTTCACTTACCTGTAACCACCCTGAGCAGTTGCTCCTACTCTGTACCAATGCCTTCTACAGAGTGAGCATAATCTGGACAAGGAAGGGTTAAATGAAACAGGTTTCAAAGCCTGTTCCTGTAGAGGTGAGGAGACAAAAGCATCTTCGGTAGATGGCTGCAAACAGCCATGGCTGGGGATGCTTTTTCTGCTTTCTTGAAGCACAGTTTTGTTGGACCAAGTCACGGGGGGAGGGAAACCTTTGGGTGTTTTTTGGGTGGCTTTTTATGGTTTTCTTATTCTGGGAGGAGCCCAGGGGTGAGGATCTGCCACCCTGCCCCAGCCCTCCCGGCTGTACACGGGGCTGAGGTCAACCTCCAGGCTGAGCCAGTGTAGCTTCACTAATTGCTCCAGTAGGATGAATTCCCCCTGGGCTGTTTCTCAGTATCGGCATTCTAACTATGCATTACCTCTGCACTTTTACCCACTCCAAGGGCTGCAGTACCGGCAGCCTGGGACCGGGCAGCATTGTTGACTGCAGACAGTGCCACAGCCCCCGGGCAGCATTTGAGACCGAGCTCCTGTTGACTGCTGGCCTCGTCCCCTAAGGGAACTCTGGCCCAAAGGAGCGAGTGCCTGTGCCCCCCCCGGCCCGGCGTCCATGGGCCCTCCTGGCTGCTGCAGAGCTGCTCCCGAGGTCTGCTTGCTGCCCGTTTCCCGAGCCCCTCGAAGCCGCGTCTGGCGCTTGTTGTCGGGGAACGGAGGCTCTGCTCCGTCTGTGTGCAGGAGGGGATGGAGGGAGCAGCGGCTGCACAGCCCGGGATGGTTCCTGTCGGGGCTTGGCAAACCGGGGGCTACGGCGGCTCCGAAGGGCGAGGGGAGCCCGGGCAGGAGCCGCTGACCAGCTCCGAGCTTCCTGTCTCTGTAACCCGAGTGCGTGTTCCGGTGGTACCGGCCGAGGAGCCCCTGCCCCTGCTGTGCTGGGTGACGCTCTGGCCTGAAACCCGCGGCGGGGCCAGGGCCGATGTTTGCCGGCCAGGGGCGGTGGGAGCGGCCGGGTCGGTGCCGGTCGGGCGCGGCTGTAGCTGCTGTCACACGTTAAACCCGTCCCACGAGCTCGGCCTCCGCAGTCCAGTCCTTGCTCCGCCGGAGGGGGGGGGGGCGCCGGTCCCGCCTCGGGGCCCGGTGCATGCGCGGGCGGTGGCGGAAGTGTGAGGGGTGGGTTCTGCTTCCGGGTGATGGCGGCGGAGGGGCCGGGAGCGCAGGTACCGGAGGGAGGGAGGGAGGGAGCGGGGCGGGCTCCGTCCCCGGGGTGAGGGGGGGGGCACGGCCCGCAGCGAGTCCCTTGTGTGTTGCAGTGAGACCCGGTGGGAGCGGGGTAAGATGAGCCCGGCCCGCAGCAGCCAGCGCTGAGCCCGCCCCGCGGCCGCCGCCAGCGCCGGAGATGGCAGCGGAGTCCGTAAGTGAAGGGCGGGCGCGGTTTGCGCAGCTCCAGCAGTGAGGGGCCTCGGTGGTGAACCGAGCGCTGGAGCCGGGTTGGAGCCCGGTTTGTCTCCGTGCGGAGCCTTGTGCTGCACCGTCACCCTGGCACGGGGAACTTCACCACCCGAACCCGGTGCAGCAGAACCCGCAGGTCGCTCTGTCTGAAAACACCCCTCAAGGCTGTGCCCATGGGCCCCGGCTGGGAGAGGCATTGAGCAGACTCGTCACTTTGCTGTCAACAGCCACCCAACAGTGCTGCTGCTGTTAAGGAGCATGTGGAAGTGAGGGTGTCCCTTTCAATAAGCCTCTTTCCTAAGTTCGTTTGGCCCCTGGGCCCCTCCCGTGACGCTGGGTTTCTCTTCCGATCCCTTTTCGTTTGCTGTTTGGTGTCTGTAACTGACTGCTTTTAGTTGTCAGTTCTGGGATGCTCCTCCCGTGTTTAACTTGCCCCTTAGGAACTGCCTGGCTCTCACTTGTGTTCAGCTGAAACAGAGTTTTGTGGAATAAAGATCATGGTTGTTACCAAGTTCCCAATTCAGATCATCACTGAACAAATAAGAGAGCAGAGCCCCGAGCTCGTTTTACAGGACAGTTTCCAATTTGACAAGATCTCAATAAGGAGAAGTGAATTCAAACATTAATTCTATCACATGGGTTCTTATAGACGATCCCCATCTGGCAGAACAAACCCCATGGCTCAGCACGCAGCGTTGTCAGGAGAATCGGGTCAAACCTCCCTTTAAAGCCCTGTCCCAGAGCAACCTTTGAGGTAAGAACTCATCAGGGATGTGGTGGTCTGGACACGGCACTGTCGTGTGGTGCTGCTCGTGCCTGTAGAGCTGCAGGATCTTGAATGCTCAGATTCCTTAATTTCTTTCTAAATCTCTTCTTGTGAAGTGGTTGTTGGCAGCAGAAGGTGCCTGCTCAAGTGCTGTCTGCAGACTGGGTTAGCAAGCTGCAGGAGACACAAGTATTGAGCTGCTGAACCAGAGCTTTGTTGTGTGACCTCCAGCAGCCACGTGCCCTCTGGGCCTGTGCTGCAAAACAGAAAGGGGTTTCTGGAAGCACGTCACTGTTTGAGCTCAAGGGCAGCGCTGGGACTTGTAGAGGCACGGTGTTGCACATGGGCCTTGGCAGCGTGCTCAGCTGGATCAAGTGTCCCTTCGCTGCCTTGCAGCTCAGGCTTGGAGAGCACGGTAACATACCACACACCCAGGAGCCAACAGATGATGTCTGCCTCAGCCAAATGGTGTTGCTGTCACACATCAACACATGCAGCTGCCAGCCTGGACAGAGGAGAGGCTCTGACAACCAGTGCAGCACATCTGGGGTGGCTTTAGGAAACAGGGTCACCATCTTCTTCATGTAACTTCCTTCTTTTTAGGTTCTACCTAATGTCTCGGAGCTCTATTTAAATGATGTCCCTCCAGTCCCCACCTTGGCAGACATTGTGTGGATAGCAGCAGATGATGAGGAAACATACGCCAGAGTCAGGTTGGGTTCCTCTTTGTGTCTGCTGGTCCTTACTTCTATATGGTGGGTTATTTCTCACAGCATAGGTCTGACATTGATTAAATGACTGCAACTTCCATCCCTCTCAAGGTCTGATGTGGTGCCTGTTGAAAGACGTTTTCCCAATGGTGGAGATGGAGAAAAACCAAATTGGACAAAGGATGCTGGGAGGAATTCCTGTAGGCAGTGCTAGGAGCCTGTGTCATGCCATGTCTTACCTACTGGTAGAGCTGCATAGAGCAGCCCCCTTAATCTATGTTAGCTTCTGGTTAGAAAGTTGGTAACTTTCTGGTTAGAAAATTGAAGAGTTTAGTTCTCCTGGGATTGAAATGTTCTGGCCCCAGGAGTTTGGTTCTGGTCAAGTGAACTTTTGTACTTAAAGCAGGGCAATAGTAACAGGTATCTTGTGAAAGACAAACAGACTTTGAAGTCAGAGGTAAAGTTAATCAGTAAGTGATGTTCTCTCGTGCAGCCAGCACGCTGCCTGGCATGAAAACACAGCTACCAGGAGAGAACTGACTTGAAACTGTGTGAGCATGCCCCAACTTTTGTCCCTGTATCCTCCCAGCAGATCTTGTGTCATGGTTTCTGTATTCCTTATAATTTCCTATGGTTTCACATTGCTTGTAACGCAGAGAGCACATACAGTGGCACATAGAGCACAGTGGCACAGTAATTCATTGTGTTGAAGTCTTCTGCTGTCCTGAGGTGGAGGCAGAGCTTTGCCACATTGTTGTCATGGAGGGATCTGGACCTTGTAAGTGATCAATGGGGTTTTGTCCTGTAGAAGCGACACTCGCCCGCTGAAGCACAAGTGGAAGCCGAGTCCCTTCACTGTTATACAGCGAAATGCTTCAGTCCCCAACCTGAGGAAGCAGGAGGAGAAGCTGCTCGCCTTGAAGAAACCTGGTTTACCAGCACTGAGCCGAACAACAGAGCTCCAGGATGAGCTGAGTCACCTTCGGAGTCAGATAGCTAAAATAGTCGCTGCGGAATCAGGTAGGAACATCATGCACTTTGGTTTGTTGAATGAGAAGGGCTGACTTAGTGAACCATGTTATTTCCCCATGCTGACCAGACTTGCATCCAGCAGAGCTGTGGATTCTGGTGGTGGGATGCCACCTTTGGTGTCAGCTCTCCGCTGGTTCTGTGTTTAGATGTTTGCATCTGTTTCATTGGAAGATTCTAGCTTGTTTTGTGAGATAGAACAATTGTTGCTTTGTGACTGCATTTGCTGTGGAGGCCAAGGCATCTTGAGTACCTCAATTCATGAAAACATTTGGTTTATTCTTGCCATTCCAGCACCAAGCTGGCCATGAGCAGGAGGGTTATGTCTTGATATGGGTACGAGGGAGATGTCAGTGTTTGTTTCTGGTGTGAAAGTGGGAGTGCCATTTCTGTGGCAGAGAAGTGTTTGGGGAAAAGCTGGTTTATTTAGAGCTGAGCTGGTTGATGTATTTCTTTCAGTAAAACTGTGTGCAGTTAAAAGCCATGTTTTAGCCATAAAGCTGGCTGTGAAGAAAGGCTTTTTACTTCTTTTCCTTTCATGGTTTTTCCTCTATACTCAGCTCTGAAAATACAGTGATATTTGGTAAGATCCACATCCAAGTGGTTCTACAGGTCTTTGCTTTTACAGTGGCCGGTCCAGAGTATGGAAACTAGAATGAGATAAACACCTTGGTATCCATTTATGAAGTATTCAGAGGCAGAGATGTTGCTCTCCCCACTCAAAAACTACTGAACAGTTTTGCAAACTAAAGGAATTTAGTCCTCCTTGAGAACAGTTTTTCCAAAGAGCTGCATTTCTTCCCTGCAGAGCACTCATGCCAATAACCAAGGCAGCAGCTGTGTTGTTGCTTCCCAGAGGAGGAGCTCCTCTAATTCTTCCCATTGCTTAAAAAACCCCAAAGAAACAAAAGAACAACCCAACAACAACAAACAGGGATTTTGCCACGCTTGAAATGATACCAGGCAGGTGAATTCCTGTTTCTGGTGGGTAATAGTGGCTGATGAAACCTTGCTTATCGTCCATCTGAAAGCAAGTGATGTTTTTAATTCCCAGATGGCTGCTTTGCACTGTGCAGCGTGCAGAGACCAAACCTCTGGTGGTTGCCTGATGGTTGGAGCCCAATCTACAGCTTGCAGCTTTAATGACAGCTTATATTTAACCCAGCTATCCGCGACCCCTCAGTGCATTTGAACAGGAAATAGAGTTGTGGTGTTTGATTTAGTTAAAACGCTGCTTTCTACGTGGCAGATTCGGATTGGGGCTTTGTTCACTTTGGTCAATAGACTCCAAGAATCTACTTGACATCAGTAATGTAAATGCTTAGGCCACCACACGACAACCCATGGGATGCATTTAGTTGTGGTGCAGAGTTGTAGATGAGATGAGGTGCTTCTGATGATCTTCATCGCACTTTTGTAGTTGTTGTATGCACACATGGAGAGCACCATCTCCTTGTGCTGGTGTTTCTCATCATCTTTGCTCCTCTCACAGGACACTGGATCCTGACACACCACTTGCCTCCACTGGCACAGTGGCACATGAGATTGAGGCCACTCTGAGCATGAGGGAGATGCATTACCCTCAGCTCTGCAGGGAGCAAGCATAAGACAAGGCATCACAGATGTCCCTTGCAGACAGGCTGCATGTGTTCTCTTTCTTTATGCAAGATCAGAGGAACAGCTGAATTGGAATAAAGAACAGGGGAAATTCTGTGTTTTCCTTCTGAGTGTTGTGTCAGCCTCTACACTTGCTGTGTGCTAGAAAAGTCAGTTTTAATTCAAGGAGAGTAATAATGAGGGAAATTTGAGATCCAGATGGGAGAAAAATGATTTAATCATTTAATACCTTTCTCTCTCCCTCTTCACTCAGCAGTGGGGCTGGCTGTTACCAGCTGGCATTTGAGACAGTTCCTATTGACTTCATGTCCTTTAAGTCAGTAACAGGGAGCTGTGATGTAGAGCCCTGCTGTGTCTTGTAATCTGATGAAGGAGATAACTGTTTAGCAGACTTATTTTGGAAAGATTGATGTCAAAGAAGAAATACTGTGCAATCTGCTTTGTTATATACTGTTACAGAAACCCCTGCACTGGAAATTGATAACTATCTACAGGTTTGCTCTGAGGCCAAGGGCATTAGTGCTTTAAGGTGCAGTTTGTTTTCAGTACAGGAAGGGTCTTTCACAGAGATGTACACTAAATGCATTTCTGAGGGTTTGGTTGTTTTCCCTTAATGTTTTACACTGGAAATACTGAACTCGTTTTCACTTAGCACTTGGAATTTACACAGCTGTTGATCCCTCCACTGTGTTTTAAAGTGTGAGCAAATCAATCCTGTCTTCCCTGCAAAACCAGGGGGATACTATTCTCATTGCACAGATGGTGATGGAAAGCAAAACAGGTCAAAATGCCTGCAGTGACCGAGTGAATCACTGTGACTGTCTAGTGTAAAATGCTGGAGGTCCTGAACCAGCTCTGCATTCTCACCAGGTGGGATGGTTATGGGGGGAAGGAGTGTGAAAGGAACAGCAAGGCTAGAAGTTCTCATGGTGCTGAAGAAAAGCAGGAGAAAAGTTAAAAGCAACTGAGACCTGCGTTCTGCTGCAGGCTCCCGCTGGGACCCGGAGCAGCAGCTCCATCTCTGTTCCTTACCTGTAAAACCATTACGAATTAGCATGGCCTGGCAGCAGGGATGGGGTGCAGTGGGGGAACTGGAGGAGTGATCTGCTGGTGGGCATGACAGGAATAGAGATACATGAGGGGGGTGGTGAGATGAAAGGTACTGGAGGTCTTGCGTTGGAATGTGATGGTGTAGGAAGCAGAGTCGGCATGGAGGGGATCAGAGAATAGGATGACTTTGTTCTCTCATATCTTGGCTGATGATGCCTCTTGGTTTGTGTTTTGTTTGTTGTGAGTTGATCTATTCACCTGTATTGTTTTCTCTTTCAGCTTCTGCTTCATTCACACCAGATTTGCTGTCTCCAGGAAGTTCAAATGCGTCTTCTCCTTTACCTTGTTTCGGACCCTCTTTCCAGTCTACAACCTCCTTTGTCATTAGTGACATCACGGAGGAGGAGGCAGAGCTGGAGAGCCCCGAGCTCCCGTCCGTGTCCCTGCTCTGCTCCACAGCCTCCGAGTGCTACAAAGCAGAGCCAAAGGATCCCGATGAGGAGGATTCTGTGTCTCTGTCCAAGGCCAGCAGTTTCGCAGACATGATGGGCATCCTCAAAGACATTCATAGGATGAAACAAAGCAAAGACTTGTAAGTGCTTCCTGAACACCCATGATTTTATCTTCTTTCCTTTTCTTCCTGCCTGTCCAATCACTTCAGAGGCTGGATGCTGCATTCCCTGCTCCTTGGTGCTGCTCTGTGAGTCACAGTGGGGAAATTCTTCTTTATAGCAGAATGTGGTAGCGTGTATCTGGGTTTGGGGATCTTTAATGGTGGCTTTATCTGCCTGGATAGAAAGCAGTGGAGGGGAACCTGCACCAATGAGCACAATGTTTGCCTGTTCCAGCTTGTTTACCTACACTAAAGGAGGCCCATGTGGATCAGCAGCCTGCTTTGCTTGCAGTGCTTCCAGGGTCTGGTGCTTACAGCATCCTGGAGGCCTGGTTAGCTTCCCTGGAAGCTCAGCAGCTTTTTATCACATACAGGAATTAACACATGGAGCTTCTCAGCTTTTGATCTGGCCCAGCTTTGAGCTTTGGGCAGGGTTTTGCTTGTCTCATGATGATGCAAGGTTCTGCCCAGCTGATAGAACAGCTTTCACATCAGCTCTGCTGCTTTTGCTTTAGTGTGAGATCACAGTGAGGAAGTTCAGTTCCATTTTCCAGCCTGAATCCAACCATTAGGTCGTGTCACGTTTCTGCATTGTGTGATGCCAGGATTTCTTTGCTTAATTCAGTTCAAAAGAAATTAAATTCTCAGCACTGAAATAAAATGATGTAGTCAAAGGAGGGAAATGTGTTCAGCTTTCCTAGGTGTTAAAGATTACTTGAAGCTCGAACACTCACTCACTTTATATAAATGCCTGTAGTCTCTCCTGGGGGTGAGTAGGACTCATGGACCACAGATGTGTTGCTCCTCTTCCTTCTCCCTGTCTGTTGCAAAGCAGTGCTTTGGTCATCCAAAAATGACTTTGAATTCTTAGGCAAAGAGAGAGAGAGAATCTCAAGCAAAATCCTGATGTGGGGGGGTCAGGGGCTAGGGTGATGTTTCACCTTTGCTGTGAGCCTGTAACCACCATTCTAACGGGCATCCCTGGGCTCTGGGAACTCGAGGAGCTTGCAGATGCTTCATGCTGTGCCATGGAATGGTTTCAGTTTAAACGTGTGTACCTCTAGGGCTGAGATGCTCAGGGAACAACGTGATTCTCAGTGTTGCAGTTAGTGCAGCCCGTGTGTCAGCCTGCTCTGGAGGCAGACTTTGCGGGTGAGAAAACTGCTGCTGTCTGTGCCAGGTGAACAGGGAAGTGTGCGTTATTCAGGGGCAAAACCCCCCTTGCACAGATCCAGATCATGGTGGGGAAAGACATTTCTTACCTGTGGGCAGGGAGGTGATGGGGGGAGGCTGATAAAAGCAGCCCGTGGGTGACAGGGAACATTGTGGTATAATGGGTCACAGTTTTACTTTAATTTCCTCAACAGAGTGCATGAAAACTAATAATGGTGGAGTGTCTGCCTTTGCTGTTACCCAGGGGGAGCAGCTGTGTGGATGAGTGGGAGGCTTGTGCTTGAAGAAAGGCTTCAGCAGCAGGGTTGATGCTTTTTAGCATCACAGGACATGGGGGAGAGCAACGAGTTAGGTCTGGGGGATACCTGGGGGAGGAGGAAGCAGCCAGATCCCTCCTCGTTGGGCACAGAGGGGACAAAAGGGTCCTTCTCCTCTTGTGACAGACCAGTGAGCCTGAGCTGGGTCATGCTGCTGCAGCTGCCTTAGGAACACCTCAACACAAGAGTTGGAGACTGTTCCTGCTGGAGCAGAACTTGTCCCCTCAGCTGCTTCTCCACCTCAGCCTCTAACTTGCTTCCTGCATGCAACAGTGACATTTTGTTGCTTAAGGAAAGCTGACAAATCACAGGTAGCTGGAAAATTACCTTAAATAAATCCTAAATCCCTGATGTTCATCACTTGATGAGCATTAATTCCTAGACCCCATTCCCTGGAGCTGATGCTGAGGTGTGAGCAGCCCTGTGCTCACTCTGTGATGTGCAGTTCTGCTCATGTAGCACTTGTAGCACTTAAAGGGTGTGTGATGCTTTTAAGTAGGTGAAAGTACCAAATGATACTTAATGAGATAAGTACACAGGCTTCCCTGATGCTCCTATTTAGGTACTTAAACACAACCCTGGAAGCTTCAGGAATGAGTGAGAAGCATTTGCAGAACTGTGCATGTTTCACATCTTTCAGCATCTTGTTGAAAGAAGCAAGATGCTTTGGTAACAGAACACTACAGGAAAACACGTATAGTAGCTAAGCAAAGGGAAATGTGCACCAGTTCTCCTTTAAAATACATGTAAATACCCATCTTTAATTAGGAGAGCACCTAGCCATTGTGTAGCAAAATTCCTGAAAAAGAAAAAATCCTTCCAGGACTTTACCTCCACCACCACTTGCAGATTCCTGTTGAGGATATGTTGCTGTGAATAATTAATGAAGTTCTATTTCATTTACTTGTTATTAACACAGTTGAATAAAAATTATAAAGAGTTTCAGTGCTGAGCTTTTGATCCACAGAATGAGCTCCAGGTTTTCTAAGGTGACTGCTTTTAAGTTTGAAATGCTTTTTGGGTCTCCTCCGCTTGGACAAAAGCTAACGTAGAATGGTTTGGGTTGGAAAGGACCTTATGAGCATCCAGTTCCAACCCCCTGCCACTGGCAGGGATGCCTCACACTAGACCATGTCTCCCAAGGCTCTCTGCAGCCTGGCCTTGAGCACTGCCAGGGATGGGGCAGCCACAGCTTCTCTGGGCACCCTGTGCCAGTGCCTCAGCACCCTCACAGGGAAGAGCTTCTGCCTGAGATCTAACCTGAACCTTCCCCAGTTTCAGTTTAAACCCATGACAAAGGCTGCAGAAAGATACTTTAAGACTCTCAAGCCAGAGCTGTAAAGCATCGGGCTGGCACTTCTCTTGGCTGACACGTTGTGCTTTTGTCTTCCAAGCAGAAACCGAATGTCGCTGAAGGAGGAGGACCCGGCGGTTCTCATTGCAGAAGTTCTGAGAAGAAAATTTGCCCTCAAGGATGAAGATCTGGCCCTGAAGGAGAAGTGATGCTCCTGGCATTAAACTCTGCAAGCGTTACTGCTCCCACAGTGTTTTCCACAGTAGCTGCCTTCCTAAGGATGGAGCCTTTTGCCTCTTTTGTCAATGAGAAATGGTTTCTGCACTGGACCCTGACTTAGGAAAGACCCTTTGGATTTGGTGTGTTTTCCATGTATTATTACATTTAAGACAAACCTTTTTAAGAAGATGGAAATTCTTTTCCACCTGTATTTTGATGTTGATTATTGCTGAGGATCTTCTAGAGTGAAACACGTGCTGCTGGATGATGTTCTTCCCACCTACAGTTTTCCTTAGGTTCACATTAAGCATTAGCTTGTACCGGCCTCGTCCCAGTGTGACCAGTTACCATTTCCAGTATAAAGGAATGGCAAAGAGCCCGTTCTGTCGCTTGTCCTGAGCATGGTACAGAGCTACTGAGAATAAGCTACCCAGCGCTTCCAGGCCTTCAGTGTTTAGGAGGTGGTTAAATGACAGCAGCAGAAGTTGTCCTCCGGGTACCTGTGTCTGCCCCATGGCAGGATGAACCCATGGGCAGTGATCAAATCAGCCGGTCCCACCGAAGGGCCACGGGGTGGTTTTAGGCTGCCCTGGGTATTTCCAAGTAAGTTACCCCACAACTGCATGACAGAATGGCCTTCATTTCTTGCCAGTAAGTCAATGTTTCATTACTAGTCCTTGTATTCAGATAATGTACTTTATTTAGCACTCAGAAGGTCTATTTATTGCTAAGAACCAAGCACCCGCCACAAGAGCTGTCACTGAGGAAGGGGACGAAGGAGCTTGGCATTGCCTGTGGCTACACTTCTCACTGACTGAAGAGCTTTCCTTCAGCTACACCTCTGCAGTGTTCTCATGGCTGTATTTAAAGGATGTTGGGTTTTTTTCCTTTATATAAAATGGAGCCTTAATAAGACAATGGCTGTCCTTGCTATTGTTATGCACGTGTCCAAACATGTCATGTCAGTGGGGGCGTTTGTATCTTGGGCAGGCTGGGGAGTGACAGTTCAGCTGCTGTGGCCCAGGCCCTGGCTGGTGGTGCTGGAGATGAGCACACTCAGATGCCAAAGCCTTTGTTAATGCACCAGCCCTCAGCCCTGGAACAATTAACTCCTCATCCCCACCTTAAAAGCAAAAGAGGCCTGTACCTCCTCTGGCCAGCGGGAGCAGGGGTAGCAGGTAAGACTTCATTGGCTTCTTAGGGAGCTGATACAGCTCCTACCCCTCAGATGGGGCCAAGAGCCAGCGGATGATGTGACCCTTCTCCCTGTCCCAGTATAAGGATTTGATGGCAATACACCTGCCCGTGGATAAGATGGACCTGTAACAAAGAGTTCCTGGTTCCTAGGAGCCTGCTGCATGTGCAGACTGGATATACAAGTGTATCAGCACAATTCACTTCTGAGCTATGGCACAACTCTAGTTTGCTCTATTGTACATTGTAATTATTGTACATTAATCTGGCCCAATGGGAGAGTGAAGCTGTCTCAAAAGGTGCCATTTGCAGTGGTAAAGGAGGACATACCTGACATTTAAAAAGAAAGAACAAAAGGTGGCTGCTGCTGCCGCCAGGGCAGGCTGTTCTGCAGCCTGATGGTGCTCACAAATGGACTCTGCTGCTCATGACCCCGGGGTTTTGGAGCAGCTGGTCTCTGCATTTTAAAAGAGATAACATCTAAGGTAGCCCATCCAAAAGCAGGGGCTTATGTTGAACATGCAGCATACAGGATGTGCATACAGGACATTCCACTGCTGTTACTGAGACTGGCAACTGCCACAAGCAGTTACACCAGCACAGACCCATTGTATTGCCCAAGCACTCACTGCTCCCCACAGCAACAGCTGGAGGGCAGCCCCACTGCACCGAGCTGCATCCCACCTGCACAGGAGCAACCAGCCCCGCATTGGGACTGTTCACTCTAATGCACCGTGACAATTCCTCCTCTTTGCCACAGCTTCACTTTGAAACTTGCCTCAGGCACCTGGGCTGTAACCAGGAGTCAAACACTCAAACCATTGCACATAGAGTGATTCAAAGCTCTACCTTTATTAAAGCATAATCTCGGTGCACAGAGAGGTCCTGCCTGATGCACGGGGCTGCTGCCGCTGCTGCCTACCACACATAGAGAAGCAGCGGGTGCACCTCCCCAGTGCTCACAAAACGCTTTCCAGAGGCTGCCCAACCCGTTCGAGGGCTCGGGTCAGTGCTTGATCACTCTGCCCCCCTCCGAATCCTGCGTGAACAGCAGCTCATAGCCCAGCTCCGGCTCCTGCTCCCCTTCGCTCCAGCTCCATCCTGCAGCACTGCTGGAACAGCCCTTGGAGGGAGAGCAGGGCAGCTGCCTGCATGGAGATGGGACCTCCCAGTGAGCGATCACCCTGTTCCCTTCCGAGTCCTGGGTGAAGAGCTCCCTGCGGGGACTGTCCCATCCTGCCTCAGCTGAAGCAGCACCCGCGTTCTGGCTGCGCTCTCGCAGGGGCCACGCTCTACCTGGTCCCTGTGGAGACAGATGAAAGCCAGGAGCCTCGGTCCTGCTGCTCATGACAGCGGGGTTTCTGTTCTCAGTGAAATCACTTAAAGCATTAACACTGCTCCCTTGCTGTGGTTTCTTATTCTGCTCTGCACCAAGTCTCCAGTGGAAGTCAAGTCCTGCCTTTGCCTCCTCAGGGGGTTCCAGGCCCTCTGGTTTGCATCCCCTGCTGCTGCTGGATGAAGCTGCTTCTCCAGCCACCAACTGGGCTTTGTGTGTGTGAGGGATGAGCTGGGTGCCCTCTGAACCGCGTGCGGGGCTGGAGCACCAGCGACCCTCTCCTACCCCACTGGAGACCTCCACCTGTGGCTCTGTGAGAGGATCTGCACAACACTGGGCTGTAACCGGTGCTGTCCCCTCCTTGCCTCGGAAGGGTGGTTGGTGTTGGGCTCCCTCCATCCGCGGCAAAGCCAAGATCTTCACAGGGGAGGCAGCCATAGAAATACCTTTTCCTTTCCAGTCCTTATGCGGGATGGAAGGATGCGGCCTGCAGTTTTCTTTGTCTGTTTCATCTGAAAACAAGAAGGAATCAGGTAAAATCCGAGCTGGCGCACACACTGCTCAGAGCCAGTCGTTACCATTCCTTGGTGCTCAGCTCAGGAGGCTGGGCTGGTGCTGCCACCACCTCCCTGTGGGCTGCTGCAGGTGAACGGCAGCCTCAGCCACTGGAGGAGCTGGAGTCGGCCACCTTCCCCACGGTGGGATGCTCCAGGCCCTCCCCTCTGCATGCAGGCAGCTCCCTCCTGACATCCCCTTCAGAAGCCGCAGCTCAGGCGTTACCAGAACAGCCCCAAAACACAGAACTCCACAGTGAAACTCTGACAGCTTTTGCTGCCTGATGAAGGTACCAAGTCCCATGTTTCCTTCTGAAACCCTTCCATATGAAGTCTAATACAGTATATCTGTCAAGATACACTGTATAAATACTGATAAATCTCTCAGTATAAGTGAGGTCATTCCCACTTCAGGACAAGCCAAAAGAACAATGAGCAAAAAAAACCCCACAACGAAGAGAACCACTCCTACAGACCAGGCAGGAGCTTGTGATGAAGCCAAAGGCACACAGTGAGTAAGTAAATGCACTGGACTGAGGGAATCCAACAAAAAAGGGGAGAGGAAAGCACACAACACGTTCAGAAGGAGCAGGGATATTCCCGTTCCCCTGCAATTCCTTCACTGGTTCAGCCAGGATTAAACACTGCTCTTCAGAAAAGGCTTTGTCCACCCCTTCATAAACCCTTTCCTCACTCACCTCCAGCTGCAGCGTTCTTCCAAGGGCACTTAACCAGCAGTTTAGGGCTGCTGTTGTTTGGAACAAACCTGGCATGAACCCCACCTCAGCCCAAGCTGGAGCATCCTTCACGTGATGCCATCAGGAACCCAGAAGGGAACGCTTTCACCTGGATACATGTCAGTGCTGGGCTTCAATCAACCTTCCCAACGCTCCAATGAGAACTCCGGTGTTGGGAGCCAAGCCTGGGGCTGTCCTTAGCGCTGAGGCTGCTCCCCAGTGAAGCCTGGCTGTGACTGCTCTCACCTACGCTTTAACCTAACACTGGAAAAGGTGCCTGCATTCATCTCAACCATCGCAATAAAACCCTCTGGGGAATGCAACCCTTTAACCTTTGCTGTCCTTGCCACAAAATGCACTTTGATGCCCAGCCAAGCTGCCGAGGGCACAGCGCAGAGGGATTCCCACTACAGCCCAAGGGGCACACACAGGTACCTGTTCTGCTGAAGAAGGACGAGATCCTGGTCTGCTTCATGTGCGGCCGAGAGTCTCTGCTCTGTGTGGAAGCAGCGGAGCAGCATCTCCTTCCCAGGACCCGCAGAGGTGCTGCGGGGTTGGCTCCGAGGGGCTGAGTGAGCAAAGGACCAGGTGAACGCGCGCTGTTGGAACCAGCTCCTCCTCTCCTCCAGCGCTGCGGCGCAATTCCCACCTTTGCTAAACGCTTCAGCTCTTCCTGCGGGAAGGGGCCCGTGGGGTCACCTCGCCCAAGCCCCAGGAGGCTCACGGAGCAGGGTGCTCAGTATCACGGCCACAGCCCGTTCAAGCAGGACGCTCAGCACCGCGGCCGCAGCCCGTTCAAGCAGGATGCTCAGCACCGCAGTCTTAGCCCGCTCCCACCGCGCTCCGCCGCCCGCACCGCGCCCGCACCCCCCGACCGGCCTCTCCCTCCAGGACCCGGTGCCCCCCGTCGGGCCGGGCCGGGCCGCACCTGCTCCCCGCCGCGCTTCAGCCCGCCCGTGTCCAGCCACACATCGCAGCCCCCAGCCGGGGCGGCCGCACCGCTCCCGCGCTTCATGCCCGAGCCCCCAGCGTCCCTGCGCGGGACCGCCCCCTGCTCCCGCCACCGCGCACGCTCGTCTTGGACACTGACCAATCAGAGCAGCGGGGTGGGATGAGCGGCAGGTGGAGCCCCGCCCACCCCCGGCCGTGCCCTATAAAAAGCGGAGGCGGGCCCGGGCTCAGCTGAGGTACCGGGCGTTCGGCCCGCTCTTTACAGGGCCCTGGGGGCACGGGAGCTCCGTACAACGCCCAGAGCCGTAGAAAGGGGCCTGAACCGGTGACAAATAAACCCGCTCCCTTGTCTGTGGCCTGCTCCTGTGGGCAGGATCCCACCACTGCCAACAGCAGCAATGGAGGCATCTCCTCACCTTTTGCTTTGGCATCAGTGCACCGCTGTGACAGGGCGGCAGCGCCAAGGTTATTGCATTCATAAGATTATATAGATATAAAATATGCCATATCTAGCATAAGATTATTGTATTTATAAAAAGGACATGGAGCTGTTGGAACAAATCCAGAGGAGGCCACGAGGATGCTCAGGGGCTGGGGCACCTCCTGTATGGAGCCAGGCTGAGAAAGTTGGGGCTGTTCAGCCTGGAGAAGAGAAGCTGCTTGGAGACCTCAGAGCAGCTTCCAGTGTCTGAAGGGGGCTACAAGGATACTGGGGATGGACTCTTCATTAGGGACTGTAGTGACAGGACAAGGGGTAACAGGTTCAAACTGAAACAGGGGAAGTTTAGATTGGATATAAGGAAGAGGTTCTTTACTGTAAGGGTGGTGAGGCACTGGAATGGGTTGCCCAGGGAAGCTGTGAATGCTCCATCCCTGGCAGTGTTCAAGGCCAGGTTGGACAGAGCCTTGGGTGACCTGGTTTAGTGTGAGGTGTCCCTGCCCATGGCAGGGCGTTGGAACTGGATGATCTTAAGGTCCTTTCCAACCCAAACCATTCTATGATTCCAGCTGTTTATTCAGATGTGAATTAAAGCAGGGACCATTGTAAGTGCAAGCTGGAGTTAATTCTGAATTACAACATAAAACGCAGCTCTTACTTTGCTCTTTCCCTCCCTACAGAGAGCACTGCTGAGCAACAGCTCACAAAAGCGCTTCATTCCTCTTCTCTAAGTCTGCGCCCGGATTCGTGCCAGCATCATCTGGCTCCAGAGCAACCGGTCAGGTGAGCTCAACCACTTCTCCTTCAGAGCTCTTACTCTTCTTTGAAGCTCAGCTTGTTCTTCACCTTCCGGGCCATGTAAGCAGCCGTGAGGACAGAGCAGGTCACAGTGAAGAGGCACAGGGCAGAGAAATTATGTGCCAAATCGCCCTGAAGAGTGGAATAGATCTGGCGCCTGGACTCGTAGTCCAGCACCACCGCCTCGATCTGTGCCAGCGTGCATAGCACCAGGAACACATGGAAGATCTGATGGCTCTGCCCGAAGAAGTGGCATTTCCCAGGGAGCCACTTCTCGGGGTAAGGGTGTGAGAAGAAGAAGGCTCCGATCAGGAAGAAGAGCACTTGGCACTTGTGGTAGAGCAGGGCCGGGTCATCGCGCTCGGAGCGCGGCGTGGTGCAGATGCGGTGAGCCACAGGGCTGATGTCCAGCATGTAGGCCAGGCCAGAGGGCAGCTCCTGGCAGAGCCGGCTCAGGAGGCGAGTGGACTGGTGGTACCGGTACTTAGCGTAGCAGGAGCCGGTGCAGGACAGCCACGCTAACAGGGCTGCTGCTGGCATGTAGAACCCCTTGATCTTCTCGTGCCAGCTCGGCTCGATGGCATAGTAGTAGTGCACCAGAGCGCTGCCGTACTGGTAGATGGCAACCCCCACATAGTCCATGAAGAAGAAGCTGTAGTGCCAGAACTCAGATTTGGCCTGCAGAAGGTGAGCGAGGCTGCTGAACATCAGGTAGGTGATGGATGCCACGATGATGATGAAGAGGGGCTGGGCATGCAGGTCCTGCCCAAAATCCACTCGCTGAGAGAGCTGCTGGAACCGCAGCAGCAGGATCAGCGCTGCCACCAGATGTGTCCAGACATTGATGGCTTCATTGTGCTGCTGGAAGAGCGTTGAGAAGTAATAGCGCCAGGTCTGCTGCACGGGCCGGTAGCCGGTGTGGATGTAGGGCTTCCAGAAGACCTTTGGCACCTCAGAACTGCTGACAGTGGAGGGAGAGAGGGGGGCCAGCAGCTGAGGGATCTGCCGCACGTTAATGAAGAGCCGGCTCAGCCTTTCGGTGACCACCGTTGCCATGATGCAGCTGAACAGGGGGGTTCCAGCCACACAAAGCGACCTCTGGGATGGGAAAGAAAGAGCTTTGCTTTGGGGTTTAAAAGTGACTTTACAGCAAATAAAACCAAACCAAGCAGGGGCTCTTTGAGTACTTTGGGGTTTTCCCCCCTGAGATAACATAAACTCCTGAGTGACTGGAGAACAGCCTCATCAGAGCTGAAATAGAACTGCATTACCCAAAATAGTGACAGGAAGGAGACTAAAGGGAGATTTAGGAACCCCTGGAGTGCCCCATGCTGCACAGACAGTTGGTCTGCAGGAGCACCGAGGTAGAGGACACGAGTATGGGGTTAACTGACAGTGTTCAACACACCAGGATGCACTAGTTCTTAGCTCACCCCTTCCCAGCACCTTGCCAAACAACCCAAACCTCCTAAACAATCCTCCTGCTCCTGCATTTCCCCTTTGGTTTGCAGCATCTGCCTTTAGAAAGAACAAGCCATGTTCCCACACAGCATTGGGACATCCTGCTCCGCTTCATGAGAACATAATATGTTCTCATTTGAGAACATAAATACCCAATGGCAGTAACAGATCTAACTTCTGTGTTTGCAGTTCTGGCCCCCTTTTTGCAGCTCCTGCTTTTCCAGGCAGCTTTGCACAAAACCAACACAGTTTGAGTGAGCTCATCCGGTTGCATCACCGAGATCCAGCAGCATCATCTGTGTGAGCCAGCGCTTCCATATCTGCCATTTGGAAGCTGCTGCCCTTATCAAGACAAGGACAGCCCCACTGGCTTGCTCTGCCTTTTCATGGCAGCCTTCAAAACACACTGAACAGAACGTGCTTGAAATGGGCTTCTACCCTCCCTCCTATCTACCTGCTCTTGCTCAGGCAGGTTCTGAAGCCCAACTCCCATCCAGCCCTGGTGCTGATTTACACCTCATCTCCTGGCAAGTGCAGTCATTCTGGGGACAGCTCAGACAGGAAAAGCTCTGAGGCTCGGGAACAGGAGGAGGTGGGGATGGGACTGTTTATTGTTAAGATCTCTGCAATTTCCTCACCAAAACAGAGTGGATCCATGGGTAACTTGAGCCTGCCTGAGGCTGCTGCGTGGCTTCCCTCCTCTCTACTCTTTACCCAGGTTAAAGAGGCCCCGAGCCTGGCCTGGGCCAGCACCTCCCAGAGAGCAGTCCCGACCTTCCCTTGGCCTCCTAAACCCTCTTGTACCACCACGACATGAAGAGGCTGCAGTGAAAACCTGACTTCATCAACCTCTTCTGAACTCACAGCCTCAAGTCCTGCCGGGGAGATGCAGGACAAAGCAGAACTCCCCGGGGTGAGCTGTGCTGAGCACGATTCAAGGGGCAGTTTGAACTGAGAGCTGCTCTGTGCCAGGGCTGCCTCTGCCCAGCACATCCGGGTGCAGGGCTCAGCTCCAGACCACGGCACAGCCACCAGAATACAAATGCCTGGCTCTGCTCAGGGAGATGCTGCAGCAGGGGGGGGAAGCTGCATTCCAGGCAGCTGAGCACAAGGCAGGAAAAGGAGCGGTATTTACCTCAGGTCCTCCAGAACTTGTTGGAGCAGGAGTCGATTTGCAAAGCTCTCCCAAGCTATGAAGCCTTGGGCAATGCTCGGTTACAAACAGAGCACATCCTCTGCGGGGCTGGAAATCATTAATCTGCCTTGTACGCTGATTTACCACCTCCTCAGACTTACGAGATGTCAATAACGTCGCCTCAAACGCCTGTTATTCCCTACAGAGCATTTCCTGTCTCAAGCAGCATCCACCCATCCCACTGGATCCTCCCTTTACGGACACAGCCTCAGCCGCGGCGCTCGCAGCCGCTCTCCCCTGCGCGCACATCCCTACCCATCCCGTTCTCCTCAGCTACGATCGTGCCTTCACCTTCACCGCAGCGGCCGTGCCCGGGCAGCGCCTCCCGGGGTGGGCAGGGATCGGTCCCGCTCTCGGGGCCCTCCCCTCCCGTTCCCCCCCTCGCCCCCGCCAAGCTTGGGACCCCCCCAACCTGCTGCGTGCTCCGCTCCGCTCCCGCCGCTGCGCACCGCGACCCGCAGCGCCTCCGCCCCCTGCGCCCGCCCCGTCCCGCCCCTGCCCCGGCTGCGCGCCCCCCTCATCCCTGCCCGCGCCCGTTCGGGGCTCTCCATCCTCTCTGCTTCGCTCCAGCGCCGCTTTTCCTGCCGGAGACACCGGTCCCGCTGTACCCGAGCAGCCGCTGGTTCCTCCCCTCCCCTTTTCCCTTCTCAGATCACTGCGTCCTTTCACTGTTTGCTCCCCCCAAATCTCATTCCCACCCCCCAAAACTTCCATTGCCCCACAGCAGCTCCGAGTATTTGTAAAACCA